ATAGCATTGCATGCTACAGAGAAACTGTTCGTGAAAGGAAGAGTCAATCCACACAGCAGACTTCATTGTCTTATTCTAAGAAGTTGCCACAGCCACCCCAGCCTTCAGCAACTAGCTCCCTGGTGAGTCAGCAGCCATCAGCACAGAACTGTCCCCCCACCATCAAACAGAACATTACTCAGAAGATGGTTAACAATTTTTAACACTAAAGTACTTTAGAGTATGTGCATTGTTTTTTCAAACATAATGCTATTGTATACCTACTAGACTTCAGTATAGTGTAAACACAACTTTTATTTGCATTGGGAAACCAAGAAATTCCTGTGACTCACTTTATTGCAATACTCACTTTATTGTGGTGGTCTGGTCCAAACCCACAGTAACTCCGAGGTGTACCCACCAGATGTTTGCCCTTCTCTGCCCTGGCCATCATCTTCTCTCCTCACTCCTGTCTCTTCAACCCTTTCCTCTGCATTCAGGAGAGTAAATGTGTGGCTTCAAAATAAGTGGTTCTCAAGCATTTTGCCCTGAGGGACCCATTAGATTCTTAAATTTTTGAAAACTCCAAAGAGGTTTTGCTTACCTGGGTTATATCTGTCTATACTTACCTATCAAAAATTGCAACTGGGCATTTAAAAAGTAGTTGTTCACTTACTTAAAAGAACAATAGCCTGCTTATAACGTAATAAAAATTTTATGAAAACTAAATTTTTCCAAAACAAAAGCACAAATGAGGACAGTGGCATTGTTCCGTGCTTTTTGAAAACCCCTTCCCTGTCTGGCATGTTCGGAGATGACTAAATTCTGATGTTTCCTCTGCACTCAGGGTGTTGAAATGTGTTGTTGAAGAAAATCTGACTTCATACAGATGAGGTAGGAAAAAGAAGGAGGAGCCTTTCCGGATGATTATGGATGTTATGTTCTGACAATACATGAAAACCCTGTAACTGGGAGTTTCTTAAAGTTGCAATGTGGAATCTGAAACCATGTCAGTGAACTTTCCTTTCCCCGTTACATTAAAATCCACTGGTCTGTGTCGCACGTGGAATGGTTCTTCTGTCCACATGTGGACACTTGTGTAGACTTTCCCGATGCAGTGCATTTCATTATACATAACCAAAGCAATCACATTCATCACTATCAGTGCTGATCTCATCAGAAACCTCTCTGTGACAACAACTCTGACGCTCAGGGAAGCAGAGACATAAAAGTTTTCCAAAAGTCTTCTCTGAGCCTGAAAGCCTGGGTTTTGTGACCAGCAACTAGCACCACCGCTTGACACACTCTTTAGTTAATTAATTAGTTTACTTCGGCTGTGCCAGGTCTTTGTTGCTTCATGCAGGCTTCTCCCAGCTGCAGTGAGCTGTGGCTACTCTTCATTGCTGTGTGAGGGCTCCTGTTGCGATGGCTTCTCTGGTTGTGGAACTCTAGGGCCAGTCCATCCTAAAGGAGATCACCCCTGAGTATTCATTGGAAGGACTGATGCCGAACATGAAGCTCCAATACTTTGGCCACCTGATGCAAAGAGCTGGCTCACTGGGAAAAGACCTTGATGCTGGGACACATGGAGGGCATGAGAAGAGGGTGAAAGAGGATGAGATGGCTGGATGGCATCACTGACTCGATGGACATGAGTTTGAGCAAGCTCTGGAAAATGGTGAAGGACAGGGAAGCCTGACCTGCTGCAGTCTGTGGGGTTGCCAAGAGTCAGACACACCTGAGTGACTGGACAACAGGCAGGCGGCTTCAGGAGTTGCCACTCACAGCTCAGCGGTTGTCACACACAGGCTTAGTTGCCTGGTGGCATGTGGCGTCTTCACCAACCCATGGAGAACCTGTGTTCCCTGCATTGGCAGGCGGATTCTTAACCACTGGACCACCAAGGAAGTCCCACTTGACATACTTTCAATTAAAGACACACTTCATCAAGACATGCTTTCGTTTTCTTTCTGACAGAGAGCAGAGGGACAGTCTGTTCCTCTGGCTTGATCTGTTCTGAGACCCCCGAACTTTCACCCACCACTGCTCTTGCACGGCCAGGCCCAAGAGCAGAAAAGACAAACCTTAGTGTTATTGTGAAAAGACTTTTGACCTTGTGGCCCCTATCAAGGGGTCTGGGGTACCCCTGGAGGCCCCTGGACCACACTTTGAGAACCACTATTCTGAATCACTGGACTTGACATTCTGCCTGTTCCTCTGCTTGTCGCCAGCTTCACTTCCTTTCCATCTTCACTTTAGCCCAGCCTTCTCCAACTCAGTGGACGTGGTCTGTGGTCTTCCCATCTCAGCCTGGCTTCTTCTTATCTCCTGCTCCTCCCTTGTGTGCCCACTCCGCATAGCACACAGATGGCTTCAAGTCTTCCTTGGTTTCTGGTGGTACATCACATTCAGGCATCTGTATTCCTAAAGGTGACTCTGACTCACAGCTTCATGCTAGGCTGCACGGACATCTGGTCAACCCCGTGTTTGCGATAAGCAGGCTATGGGTCTCTGGTCCCTCAGGATTCTTCAGGTTGGTGGATATTCTCTGTGGCCGGCTGGTGTCTGGTGTTATTCTGCTGGACCAACATGGGGTCCCCCTCTTCCCGCCTTCCTGTTCTCCAGCTGTGCAGAAGAGAAGTTATGTCTTAAAGAGTCTGAAGCAGAGTATCTTTATCTGTTCCCCCTAAACTCAAAACTGAAATACACCCACCTCCTCTGGACTCCGTGCGCTCTTGTTCCAGACACCACGTCTGGACTCTGAGCTCTTATTTAAGAGGACCTCATGCCCTGCACTTTCACTTTCACATCCTGAGATGCTGCTACCTCCCCACATCCTCATCTTTCTTCCCAGGGGGTCTGACCCTACCTGGATAGAGAATGAGGGACACTTATTGGGAGAGAAGCTGGACAAGGCTCTGCCCAGCCAAGGGGTGGCCTCTGTGTTCTCTGGCTGAAGTAGAGACAGCAAGAGTGGACCTGAAGACTAGGCCCTTCCCCCCGGGCCCCAGGTGCTCCACTGGGCCAGGTGGGAAGACTGAGGCGGACACTTTCTTCTTGTCAGTGCAGCTTTATCTAGACTGGTCAGTGGGTAACTTAGGTTCCTACCACCTCTAGGCTGTTTCTTGGTTTTGGGGGCCAAGATAAGAGTCTTACTTTGAGTCTGTCTTCATGAGTACTTTAGTGCACAGTTGGGAGACGGAAGTCAGTGGAGCATAGCCAACGCCTAGTTTGATCAGGAGGTTCCCAGAGCTCCTTAGAATCACTGCCTTGTCTTAGACCCCCTCCCTGCTCTGGGGCATCCCCATGAGAATCCACAGTTTCTGTGGAGTTCTCTGGAGACAATGGCATCTAGTGTCTGGCTAATTTTTGTCGCTAAGAATGGATTAATTTGATCTCATCTAAAACTAAAAATATTACGTTTGGCAGACATTCTCTGCAGCTAGAACAAGAACAGTGTGTTCATTGTCGGGGGCACATTTTCCAATCAGTTCAACTTGGCAAGTTCACCAGGAAGCTGCTATTGACCACTTGCTGGTATGAATAACTGGTTTTCCTGGGACTCTTCAGTCATTCTGGAGAACCAACTTGCGGAGTCAGCTCAACCTGCTCCAGGAGGAAATACTGTCTGACTTTTTCCTTAGGACTCTCTGTGTAACCTTTTTAGGGAGGTTATTCGGGCAGCTCAGACAGTAAAGAATCTGCCTTCAATGCAGGAGACCTGGGTTCGATCTTTGGGTTGGGAAGATCCCCAGAGAAGGGAATGGCAACCCACTCCAGTATTCTCACCCAGAGAATCCCCATGGACAGAGGAACCTGGTGGGCTGCAGTCCATGTGTTGCAAAGAGTCAGACATGACTGAGGGACTGACCACATTCAGGCAGCAGTGGGACCACTGTGATTCTGAACCTTGATGGCTCCCTTAACCTGGTCTGGGTTAAGCTTCTCAACTCTCACTATCGGTCCCAACCTGACCTCCACTTACCTAGTATTGTCCCCAGCTTAGCACCATTCATTCAGGCCAGGGAGGCAGAGCGGGTGTGGCCAGCCAAGCCCTGGAGAAGGGAGCATCACCCCAACAACTGGATGAGGCTTCTCACTCTGTCCTCTCTGACTCCTGCTGCTATTCTGACCAGACCAGAACCTCCTGGATTTTCTGTCTTCTTTCACCTCCTCTTCTGTTTAATATTTATTTGGCTGCACTGGGTCTTAGTTGCAGCACAAGGTATCTTCATTTGCAGCACTGGGAATCTTTAGTTAGAGCATGTAAACTCTTAGTTGTGGCCTGTGGGATCTAATTTCCTTTTAAAGAATGACACTGGGCAACAGATTTACTCTAGATAACCATGTGACCCAACCAGGGTACACCCCTCCAGGATCCCACCTGGCTCCATCTCTGCTAGTTTCCGGAGCTGCCGACTCCACGTGGTCTGAGGGAGCTTGGACCTGGGTCCTAGTGGCCACGGATCCACGCTCGTCCAGCTGCGCTGGGTGCCTGGGTGGAGCCTGCAGGCTGTGGGCTTTGAATCAGAAAATCTCTGGGCTCAGGGTCAGAGCTGGGGAATAAACCTGAGCTCCAGGACCTCTGTCCAACCTCCTCCTGTTACACTGAGCCACGTGAGATTGTGCGGGCTGTGGTGGGTGGCCCCCTCCTGGGAGGATGAATCTGTATGGTTTGCACCCCTTTGGCAATGAAAGAAAGTCATGGGCACACAGCCTGGGAAAATATAACCGTGTAGAGAGTCACAGAAGTGTTTAAATGCAATTTCACATCTATGAACATAGCGTGTTTTGATTCCTGGATGGCACGTGTTTGAACCCAGCCTTCTGGTCTTCCCTGGAGTGGGGTGGGGGTGGTGCTGTGGACAATAAGGCCTGCCTGTGGGGTTATTACCTGACTTTGGGGTTGCTATTGCCTGAATCTGATAGCTGTGTGTATGTGTGTGTGTGTGTGTGTGTGTACACACTTAAAGTTTGTTGCAAAAACAAGGGGGTCCAATATTTTCTTGTTTCCAATAAAGGGGGTTGAAGGGCAAGATTAAGAAGGAAAACTCCAAGAGGGAGCTGCTTTCAGACACAGCCCACCTGAGCAACACCCACTGCGCCCACTGCCTGCAGCCCTACCGGCTCCTTGAGACCCCCAAGAGGCAATGCCTGGACTGCCACCTCTTCACCTGCAGAGGCTGCAGCCACCCCCACCCAGAGGAGCAAGGCTGGCTCTGTGACCCCTGCCACCTGGCCAGGTGAGTGGGACCTGGAGGTCAGAGGGTCCTGCAGATGGGGGGCCTGGCCTGTCCCTTCCAGGGACACGTGTGTGTGTGTGTGTGTGTGTGTGTGTGTGTGTGTGTGTATGTGCATGCATACAGGGCGTGGGTCTGACCTCCGTGTCCCCGCCTGCAGAGTCGTGAAGGTGGGCTCCCTGGAGTGGTACTACGGGCATGTGAGAGCCCGCTTCAAGCGCTTCGGGAGCGCTCAGGTGGCGCGGTCCCTCTGCGGGCGGCTGCGAGGAGCAGGTAAGGAGTGGGCCTCCTCCCTGGGCGTCCGATTTGGCACCTAGACTCTGTCTTTTCAACAAACATTCCCCCGTTGAGTCTGATGATTATCAAGACTTGAAGAGATGGATTGTAATTCAATCAGTGGCTTTCATACTTTGAATCCAAGTATTTATTCCATGAAGAACTTGAAATCCAGACTGTCCTGTTACACTAAACGTCTGTTCACCTGTGTTGTCCACCTTGAAGCCATTTGGGCTGACCAATATTTCAGGGAAGGCTATGAGGTTGCCTGACCTTGGGAGTTCCTCCTGAACTTGAATGGGGAGAACTGAGTGGTGTTTTCAGGAAGCACTAGGCTTGCCCCTGTCATCTGAGCCCCAGGCTCTGCTGTGACACCTGGCCAGGCAGCCAGGCTACGAGAGCTATTAGGCCGGGGCTCAGCATCTTGACTGTCTCTACCTGGGGGCCCAAGGCCAGTGCCCTCGGGTCTGGAGCCCCTGCAGGTCCAGAGAAGGGGCCATGCTCCTGAGATTGAGGGTGTCCTCAGTGTGCCCCAGCCTGGCCGTCTCCCCTGGGCCTCCTGGGGAGGTGCCGCCTTGTGTCTTGTGCTCCTTAATGTCCCAGGTTAATGGGCAGATGCAGCAGTTGGGCATGGCCACCCCCAGGGCATTTGCACACATACCAGGCCTGGCACAGCTTTCAGAGGGGTCTCAGCACACTCTTTTGTGTTTTTATCATATTTGTTTGTATTTCTTTGGTTTCGAAGGGTCTTAGTTGTGGCACTTGGGGTCTTAGGTCTTTGCAGCACACGGGATATTTAGTTGCGCCATCTGAACCCTTAGTTGCAGCATGAGGGATCTAGTTCCCTGACCAGGGGTCGAACTGAGGCCCCCTGCATTGGTAGCTTGGAGTCTTAGCCGACTGGACCGCCAGGGCAGTCCCTTAGGACGTTGTTGAATTTAGCACAGACCACCCAGAGGCACCCTCACCTGTAATGGCCTTTAGCACCCGGAGGAACAGACCTCTGTGGGGTGAGGGACCCTTCTTGGGTGGGGGCTGTGGGGGGCATGTGATAAATCACTGAAAACAGGACATTTTGAAGAGTAAAGCGGTCCTCCTGAGAACCACGCTGAGACAGCCAGTGTCACTAGGGGTGCCCCGGGGATACGGGGAGGCACCGTCACCCTATCCTTGGAGGGTTTCCCCACCTCCTCCCTGGGTTGCTTCTCCACGTCGCATATCTCTATCTCGGCTGGAGCTTATCAGTAAATCCCCCTTGACGGCTCGGCCAGCCAGCAGCCAGCCAGCCGAGGGGTCTTCCTGCATCAGGAGTTGTGGTCCGGCCCCCCTCCGCAGGGCTCAGGCGTGGGAACCACAGGCAACGTGGGAAAGCCATCCTGCGCAGCATCTGAGAAGCTCAAGCCCCGCTCGCGGTGGGAAACCATAGCCACATCACAACCCTGAGGACCTGGGCCTCGCCCCGGCGTCGGGGTCGGGGGGTCCGGGGGGACTGCTTATTTCTAGAGACCCGGGTGGGCTCAGGAATCCGCCTTAGGTAAAAAGCCAGGAGGATTCTGACGGCCCAGCCAGGGCCCAGAGCTGCGCGAGCCGTACCACCCGGAACCGCCCGTTTCGGAAGTGTCACCGCTGAGGGCCAGGAGGTGGCGCTGCGGAGCAACCAAAGCCCCGGTTCCGGCCGCTGCTGGTGGGGGCGGCGGGCAGCGAGGTGGGCCCAGGCCGGGCGATGGTCGTGGGGCGGCTGCTGTCTCGCTGCTGGCACCTGTCAGCGCAGCGGACAAGAAAGGGCGCCGGGAGCGAGCGCGAAATGGGCAAGTCGTGCCTTTAAAAAAAGTATTCAAACTTACAAAGAAGAAAGGATCAAAGTGAATGTTTGGAAACCTGGCCCAGGCAGGGTAGCGGGTGGGGGGCCCGCCGGGGTCTTCCCTGCGCGGGAGGCTTCAGAGCGGTGGGCGCGTTTCCCCAGGGCCCCCTCCTCCGCCCCCGGAACAGGACCGACCGGCAGGCAGTGTTCGGGGGCAGGAAAGGAAGCCCGGCTAGGGCAGGTGGCTCCTGGAGAATGCCTGTCCGCTCAGCGCCTTTTCTTCTGTCGCAGGTTTACCTGATGGAGTGCGGAGCGCGCCCGACCTCCACAGTAAGTCCTTCCTGCTCACATAGATGTCAGGGTGCCCTCAGCCCCTGAGCAGGGGGGATGATCCCCGAGGCTGCCAGACTGAGCCCCAGAAGTCACGGGGTCATCCTGGTAGTGTCTTAAGAGAAGAACCCAGGCCAGGCCAGGGCGAACAGGAGAAAAGGGGAAAAAATGAGGCTGCAGTGGGGGTAACAGGGTCGGGGCGGGGAGGTCCTGGGGACGCCGGTGAGGAAAGTGCCCGGGTCAGGAGGAGAGAGGCGGGGATGGGGGGCTGAGCCTCCCCTGCCTCCCGGGGCGGGTGCTGAGAAGGAGGTGAATGGACTGCAGGTGAAGAGGTTTGTTGGGCCGAATGTGACTGAGCTCCAGGGCGCCTTCGCCCATGGCCCTGTAGTGTCTTCAGATCCCTAGGAGGCGGTCAGTGAAGGCGACCGTGGGTGAAAGTGATGCGGCATCCTGGTTTCCTGCTGTGGTTCAGCCCAGCCCTAAGCGATGCTCTGACATGGCTCTGGAGGCCGGCAGAGGGCCTGGTCGGATAGCGGCACAGCAGGTGTTGGGGGGGTGCGGGTGGAGGGATAGGTGGGGGGACGGACGGACAGATGGGTGGGTGGGGGGATGAGTGGTTTGTCCCCGTCTCTCTCCCTGGTGTAGTCACGCAGACATCCACTGCAGGTGGGCCTGAGCAGATGCCCGGAGACCCAAGTGGAGAGGAAGAACAGACTGATGAGGATGGAGAAGGGGACACAGCGGCCCAGGCTCAGCCCCTTGGCAGCCAAGTAGGTCTTCCCCAGCCCCGCCCCCGTCCCCCCGAAGTTGGAGCCTCTGTTCTGATTTCCTGAGAAACCTCAGGCTCTGCGTGCCTCCACTAACTAACCTGGCAGGAGCCTGGAGACCCACCCAGTCTGCCGTGCTCCGTGGTCTCTGAGATGTCTGGGTACCAAATCCAGGCGTGCTCTCAGCATCCATCTCCCAGTGGGAACCCAGAGCACACAGTGGAGGGCGGGGCCTGCCTGGACCTCCAGCCTGGCCCATCCGGCCATGGGTCCTGGGGCTCATGGGTCCTGAGGGCACTGGTGTCCCCAGTCAGCCTGTGCACCTTTCAGAGAGGCAGCCCCCTCCCGCTTTCCCCTCTGAACTTTCTTGCTTTCGTTTATAGCCAACCATGAGCCCTGTTCGTTTTTTGTTTTCTGGAATTGGTTTGTTTTTTTTTTTTTGGTTTTATGCCTGTTTTTACCTATTTTTTGAAGACTGTGTTCTTTATTTTATTTATTAGTTATTTTTGGCCATGCCGGGTCTTTGCGGCTGCGTGTTGGTTTCTCTACTTGCAGTGAGCAGGGTTTTCTCTCTAGTTGCGGTGCTCAGGTTTCTCATTGCAGGGGCTTCTGCTGTTTCAAGGGCTTCCCTGTTGGCTCAGATGGGAAAGTGTCTGCCTGCGATGCGGGAGACCCAGGTTCAATCCCTGGGTTGGGAAGATCCCCTGGAGAAGGAAATGGCAACCCACTCCAGTCTTCTTGCCTGAAAAATCCCACGGACAGAGGAGCCTGGTAGACTACAGTCCATGGGGTCGCAAAGAGTTGGACGTGACTGAGCAACTTCACTCACTGCTGTTGCAAAGCACGTGCTCTGGGCTACACAGGCCTCAGGACCTTCAGCACATGGGCTCAGTACTTGCAGCTCCCAGGCTCAGTGATTCAGGTGCTTGGGTTTAGTTGCTCTGTGGCATATTGGATCATCCCACCAGGGATCAAACCCATGTCTCCTGCATTGACAGGTGGGTTCTGACACTGAGCCACCAGGGAAGCCCTGTTTCGGCTTATTTTTTAACTTATTCCTGGTGATAAAGGCAGGAAAGAGAGCCTGTGGGGGTCTGGGCGGGACGACAGAAGAGGATCAGAGGAGGGGTGGGGCAGGGCGGGCGGTGTTGGGTGGAGACCCTTGGAGAGTCAGGGGATCTCTGAGAGCCACACTGGCAGGCATTTCTGCTGGCTAGAGCACATACATCTTTTTATGAAAATAAAACTGTACTCGTGCTATTTACTGGGCTCCAAGTGTCTGAAATATTCCCTGAAAATACATTCAAAGGATGGAAACTGTTATGAGGGAAGGATTTGGAACTAAGCTCTACTCCAGCATCTAGAGGTGAAGGAGCTCTTGGGAGCCGCCTTTCCCCCCTCCTCCTTGTGCTAGGTACCCCTCTTTCACCAAGGGGGGAGGGGCGGGAGCCCCCCCACCCCGTTACCCCAGGAAGCCCCTCCTGCCCCCCAGGGCTGCGGCCCCGGGCCAGTGACCTCAGAGCCTCTAGAGGAGCAGCCAGGTGCCCTCAGAGGCCCAGCGTGTGCTTCCCCTGCTCTTCCGAGAGGGGCTGCGGGTGCAGATCCTGTGATGGGGGTGGGCTCTGGGTGGCCCTCAGAGCCTCCTCGGGGTCTGCTCATGTCTAGCGCAGAAGGCAGACGGGCCCGTGGAGGCACCCTCCCCGCCCTGCTGCCCGGGGTCGGGGTGTCTGGCCCCCGCCATCAGGCTGACCCTCCCTCTCCTCTCCCCCAAATCCCTTCCTGCTCAGAAAAAGCGCCTCCTCCCCGTCCACAGCTGGGACTTTGAGGCCGACTCTGACGACTCCGATCCGTCCTGCGGTCCCCCGCCAAGCCTATCCTCGGTTTCAGGGGCCACGGACAGCCTGCAGGTCAGTGGGCTCTCTTTTCGCCCCTGAGTTAACCTGGGGGACAGGTTTTCAGGCCCCAGGAAAGGACAGTATTCTGGGAAACAGTCTGATGGCCCTGCAGGCCTAGCAAGGGAGGGACAACTGGGGCGGGGGTACAGAAGCCTCACACCCTCCCGTCCTGGAGAGCCTGGGTGGGCTGCTTGGAGAAGAGGGGCGCGGGGCTGATGAGTCGGGGGCCTGGGTTGTCTGTCCTCTAATGAAGGCAGACCCCCTGTGACTCAGGAGTGCAGGGTAGAGGTGTCAGATGGCCCCCGAGTCCTGCACCCCTGGTGTGATCCACAGGGCTCCTGTACCTTATTGCCCAAACTAGGCCAGTCTTGTAGGTGGAAGAGGCTGTTGGTAATCACACCAGGACACGGGGCGTCCACAGGGCAGACGAGAGAGCCCGGCCATGTGGTGCCTCTACTCCTTGGTTCTATGCCCTTGGTCTGGGCAACCTGTGTGAGGCTCCCCACCTCCCACCTCGCCTGGAAAAGGGGTGATCTCTGCCTCATGGGATCCCTTCCACGAGGGACTGGAGACTGAGCCTGGTGCACCCCAGCCCCAGAGTGACGGCACCCCAGCTGGAGCCCTGACATTTCAGCGCCCTGGCTGCTCGGGTGGTGCTGGCCCAGGACTGGGTCTACCCAGGGCAATCTACGGACCCCTGGGTGCGGGGCCCAAGAGGGCAGAGAGCTGGGACCTGGCAGCCATCAGGTCTTTGGTCCATGGTCCTGCTCTGTTGGCAAGTCCAGAGCCCTTTGAAATGAAAGGGAGTTGAATGCTAGGATGGAGAGGAAGGGGGACTTGTGTTTGGTCGGTCAGATGATGCATGAAAACCCTCAGTCCTTGGACTGGAAAGACCCACATTCCAAGGACCTGCCTATTCCTAGTGAAACCTGCCGACCGTTCCCATGTGCTCAGGCCCTCACAGATGACCCCTGCACAGAGGAGACCACCTCCCAGGAGGCCCGGATCCTGGACCAGGCTGATGCCAGGGCCCCTGGATGCCACCCCCATCCAGAAGAGCAGAGGGTCGGCCTCTCGCCTGCCGGACCAGACGAGCTCTCAGAGCCCTGCCTGCCGGGGGAGTCCTGCACTGCAGGCCCAGGAGTCGCTGCCACTCCTGGTGAGTGCCCTTGACCGTGGTCTTCCACACGGGCTCCGTGTGGAGGAGGGGGTGGCTGGAACCCACCCCCCCCGCCCCCACCCCGCCCCGATCTGTGCCGGGACGCTGGCTGATTGCCAGGAGCCCCTTCCTTCCTGGGATTGTCCAGTGTGTGTGGTCCTCGAAGACGCCATTGTCACCGGAGCTCCCCAGGTGGGGTGTCTCCCCGTAACCCTCAGAGGTACCAGCTCAACACCCTGGCTGGCCACACAGCTCACTGCCACCTGTGACGGGGGACATTGAGTGGGAGTGAGATAGAGACACACAGGTGTCCCTGAAATGACTAGGGTCACCAGTCACCTGGACCAACCTTTCTGAGCTCAGGACGGGGCAGTTCCAAACCTGGGACCTAAATAAGGTGCAAGTCCATCTGGGCTGCCTGCCTGCCAGCTGTGACTCGGGAGGTCTGCAAGTGGCAATGTCAAGGGTCAGGTGTCCGAGTGATGTAGGGAGCTGATGAGACCACAGAACAGCTCAGGCTGCCCGCCACAGTGCTCCCGCCTGACCTGACCACCGTGGGGGCCAGCTCCCAGGGAAATGTAGTTAAGAAAGTGTCTGCCAGGAAATGGGTCCTCTTCCCATTTTCCCTTTTCATTGTATTATAGGGACTCTAATCTCATGATCCACACACCCATTAAGATGCTGGAGGCGTTTGGGGGGTGGGGAGGGGACTTTTATTTCCCCACAAACAATGGATAAGTGAATCTACATCGACCGAGTCTTTGGATGAAGACTAGACCAGCACATTTCCTCCCGGGATCCCTAATCACCCCCAGCATGAGGATGGTGGGGGCAATGGGTGGGGCGGGGGAGACAGACTCTGTGGAGCTGGGGCAAGTGCCCAGGGGCACAGGCAGCCCTGAGTACCAAGCCCAGCTCTGCTGACCAACTCGCGACCCTATCTCATGGACTCTAAGACACATTCTGTCACCTCGCCTCTTAAATCGGGAGCATCTTACAGCAAGTGTGGGAGACTGATCGGTAATGCTGTCTCAATAAGTGTATCAGACAAGCCGCAATGTTTGAGCTTCAAAGAAGTGCAGTGTGTGCTTGATCAAACCCATTGACCGCCGGGCCCCAGCATCCTCATTGTAAACCAGGGCTGGTGCCTGACTCACCACACTGTTGTGGGCTTTAAATGAGATGGTTGTACCTGTTAGCTATTGCCGAGTAAGAACTTATCACAGGCGTACTGGCTTAAAGCAGCACACGTTGATAAGCCCACAGGGGCCAGGTGTCTGGCACGGCTTCCCCAGGTCCTCAGCACAGGTCCTCTGGGCTGCAACCACAGGGTCAGCAGGGCCAGAGCCTTATCCGAGCGCAGAACCCTGCCCCCAGGTCCTGCAGGGTGTCAGCAGAGCCACGCGGCAGGTCAGGCCCCAGAGCAGCTTGTGGACGCTGAAACTCCTGGGACATGGGCTCCTGTGTGTCCTCCCACGTGAGCTCACCCCCTCCCTGCCCCAGCCTGGCTGTGTGTGGTGCTCTCCAGGCCAGCTTGGAGCTTGGAGGGTACTTCCTGGTGAGGCCTTGGGGGAATCTTCCACCACCAGAGCCCAGGAATAAGCCTCTGAAGCCACACCATTGGTGACCCGTGCCCACGAGTCTGGGAATCACTAGTCTGGCAGGACAACCAGCCCCCAGAGACTGAGGTGGAAAGACTTCCCAAAGTCATGTCCACACGTGGAAACTTGCTGGGACCCACGTCTGCCACAGTAGGCACCACCTGGCCGCCCACGCTTGGGGGCCCCCAGTGAGTGCCAGCTGGGGCAGGGGCTTCTGTCCCCGAAGTTCCTCGTGGGGACAAGGACTCTGCTCCTTTCTTACCCCAGCTGAGGGGTCTTCAGCCCCGTATTACCAATGGAGTAGTTTCACGTCCCTATTCTCTTTGATCTCTCATTTTCCTTCATTGGATAAGACGCCCACTGGCCTTCAGGTTTTCACTCCACATAACTCAACCCCATTATTACTCCAAAGGGCCAAACATCCTCAGGAGTGGGCAGCTGCCCTCCCAGTATCTGGCCGACGTGGACACCTTGGATGAAGAAAGAATCTGGGCTCAGAGAGTGGCCTTTCACCATCCCAGACAGACAGGCTGGACCACATCGGAGAACCAGGTAAAGGGGGGCTGAAAGAATGCATTCTGGTTGCTTCTTTGGGTCTGAAGTCTTTTTACCTTAACGTCAGTTCACCTCTGAGAACTTAAAGCTTTCAGAACTTTTAAACTACAAGATTGGCAAGCCTACGTAACAGAGATGCGGTGTCTTCAAAATGTTTTTTATTGACATGAAATTCACATAACATACAATTAACCATTTTAAAGTGAACAGTTCAGGGCTTCCCTGGTGGCTTGGTAGTGAAGAATCCACCTGCCAGTGCAGGTGACATGGGTTCGATCCCTGGTCTGGGAGAATTCCGCGTGCTACCGAGCAACTAAGCCCATGGACCACAACTACTGAGCCTGTGATCTGGAGCCCGGGAACTGCAGCTAGAGAAAGGCCTGTGCAGCAATAAAGACCCGGAACAGCCAAATAAATAAATAAAATTTTAAAAATAAAATAAACAACTCATTTAGCAGAATAGACATTTAGCAAACATTTTAGCTAAATGTTTAGCTAAATAAACATTCAGCAAAATAAACACTCTGCATTTAGCAGATTCACAAGGTGGTGCAAACATCACCTCTGTCAGTTCCAAACCATCTTTGTCACCACAAAGGACAGATTGTATCCTCCCGCCCCGCATACACCGGCCTGCTTTCTGTCTCTGTGGATTTGCTTCTTCTGGATACTTCATGTAAATGCGATCGTACGGTGTGTGACCTTTTGTTCCTAGCTTCTTTCACTGAGAGCAGTGTTCTTGAGATTGATTGCATTATAGCAGGTATCAGTACTTGGTCCCCTTTAATGAAAATATCTATTTTATACTCTATCAAGTATTATGTCTTTAGGGAATTCCCTGGATGTCCAGGAATTAGGACTCTGACCTTCCACTGCAGGGGACTCAGGTTTGATCACTGGTTGGGGATCTTAAGATCCCACGTGCCATGTGGCCAAAAAAAAGAAAAAAATATATATACATATATATGTATATATATATATATATTTTTTTTTTTTTTTTACAAAAGGAAGAAAAAACCTGTTATTCTAAAGCCTTTCAGTTCAAATCAATCACTCAGTCATGTACACCTCTTTGAAACCCCATGGACTGCAGCATGCCAGGCTTCCCTGTTCAACAGGAGTTGGCCTGGAGCTTGCTCAAACTCATGTCCATCAAGTTGGTGACGCCATCCAAACATCTCATCTGCTGTCATCCCCTTCTCCTGCCTTCAGTCTTTCCCAGCATCAGGGTCTTTTCCAGTGAGTCAGCTCTTCACATCAGGTGGCCAAAGTATTGGAGTTTCAGTTTCAACATCAGTCCTTCCAATGAACAGTCAGAACTGATCTCCTTTAGGATGGACTGGTTGGATCTCCTTTCTGTCCAAGGGACTCTCAAGAGTCTTCTCCAACACCACAGTTCAAAAGCATCAATTCTTCAACACTTCGGCTTTGTTTATAGTCCAACTCTCACATTCATGCATGACTACTGGAAAAACCATAGCTTTGACGAGATGGACTTTTGCTGGCAAAGTACTGTCCCTGCTTTTTAATATGCTATCTAGGTTGGTCATAGCTTTTCTTTCAAGGAGCAAGCATCTTTTAATTTCATGACTGTAGTCACCATCTGCAGTGATTTTGGAGCCCCCGAAAGCAAAGTCTCTCACTGTTTTCATTATTTCCCCATCTATTTGCCATGAAGTGATGGGACCAGATGCCATGATCTTAGTTTTCTGAATGTTGAGCTTTAAGCCAACTTTTTCACTCTCCTCTTTCACTTTCATCAAGAGGCTCTTTAGTTCTTCTTCGCTTTCTGCCATGAGGGTGAGATCTGCATAACTTCACTGCATAAATGCATAACCGCATTGCCGAATATTTCTCCAGGCAATCTTGATTCCAGCTTGTGCTTCAGCCAGCCTGGCATCACAGGCTACCAACTGCTTCCCAGGGCCTTGGGGATGAGACGCAGGGCTGCCCAGCGGGTCGGGCCTTTGCTGAGCCCTCTGCCCCCATCCGTGTCCACTTCCTGCCCCAGCACTGGCAGCAGGAGATCTGCCCGGGGCTCACCTTCTCCAGCAGGGAGGGTGGGGCGCCAGCCTGTCCTCTGTCCAAGCCGGCCTGGAATGGGCGAGGGGCCCTTCCAGCCTCAGGCCCTTCGTGACTGCACTCTGGAAGGTGACCTGTGGAGCTCCAGACTTGGAGGAGGAGCCTTTCTTTGCCTGGTCCTTTGGTGAATCGGTGTCAGGTTTGTGTTAAAAAACTTGATTGGACTAGAGCATCAGTGGGGCAGAAGCGTGGCGTGCTTCAGCTCTGCGTGTCTCCCTCTGCAGAGCCTGTGCCCTCAGCCCAGCTGGCCCTCGTTCCTGTAACACCGCCTGGAGGTGTCGCCCGACCCGGGGCCAGGCATTCCTCCTGCTCCCACCTCCATCCCTGAGAGGTGTCGCTGACCCTTTGCCCTGAGCGCAGCAGGGCGTGAGAGGCCCTGAGGAGGCCTGCAGGAAGAGCCATCTCTGTGCCAGGCGACCCGGGGCTCTCACTGCCTTTAGGGAACAGCTGGGGAGATGCTGACACAAAGTGTGCCTTGAGTCAGAGCAGAGGGTCACTGGCTTGGCCCCTGGGGGTGGGTATGGTGGTGGAGGGAAAGGCCACTCCAGGCAGAGACCTCCCCGGGACAGAGACCTCTCCAGGCAGAGACCTCCCCAGGCAGAGACCTCCCCAGACAGAGACCTCCCCAGACAGAGACCTCCCCGGGACAGAGACCTCTCCAGGAAAGAGACCTCCCTGGGACAGAGACCTCCCCAGACAGAGACCTCCCCGGGACAGAAACCTCCCCAGACAGAGACCTCCCCGGGACAGAGACCTCCCCAGACAGAGACCTCCCCGGGACAGAGACCTCTCCAGGCAGAGACCTCCCCGGGACAGAGACCTCCCCAGACAGAGACCTCCCCGGGACAGAGACCTCCCCAGACAGAGACCTCCCCGGGACAGAGACCTCTCCAGACAGAGACCTCCCCGGGACAGAGACCTCTCCAGGCAGAGACCTCCCCGGGACAGAGACCTCCCCAGACAGAGACCTCCCCGGGACAGAGACCTCCCCAGACAGAGACCTCCCCGGGACAGAGACCTCCCCAGACAGAGACCTCCCCGGGACAGAGACCTCTCCAGGCAGAGACCTCCCCGGGCAGAGACCTCCCCGGGACAGAGACCTCTCCAGGCAGAGACCTCCCCGGGACAGAGACCTCCCCAGACAGAGACCTCCCCGGGACAGAGACCTCCCCAGACAGAGACCTCCCCGGGACAGAGACCTCTCAAGGCAGAGACCTCCCCAGGCAGAGACCTCCCCGGGACAGAGACCTCTCCAGGCAGAGACCTCCCCGGGACAGAGACCTCCCCAGACAGAGACCTCCCCGGGACAGAGACCTCCCCAGACAGAGACCTCCCCAGGCAGAGACCTCCCCAGGCAGAGACCTCTCCAGGCAGAGACCTCCCCGGGACAGAGACCTCCAGAGACCTCCCCGTGACAGAGACCTCCCTAGACAGAGACCTCCCCGGGACAGAGACCTCCCCAGGACAGAGACCTCTCCAGGCAGAGACCTCCCCGGGACAGAGACCTCCCCAGACAGAGACCTCCCCAGGCAGAGACCTCCCCAGGACAGAGACCTCTCCAGGCAGAGACCTCCCCGGGACAGAGACCTCCCCAGACAGAGACCTCCCCAGACAGAGACCTCCCCGGGACAGAGACCTCCCCAGGCAGAGACCTCCCCAGGACAGAGACCTCTCCAGGCAGAGACCTCCCCAGGACAGAGACCTCCCCAGGCAGAGACCTCCCCGGGACAGAGACCTCCCCAGACAGAGACCTCCCCGGGACAGAGACCTCCCCGGGACAGAGACCTCCCCAGACAGAGACCTCCCTGGGACAGAGACCTCTCCAGGCAGAGACCTCCCCGGGACAGAGACCTCTCCAGACAGAGACCTCCCCGGGACAGAGACCTCTCCAGGCAGAGACCTCCCCCAGACAGAGACCTCCCCGGGACAGAGACCTCCCCGGGACAGAGACCTCCCCGGGACAGAGACCTCTCCAGGACAGAGACCTCTCCAGGCAGAGACCTCCCCAGGACAGAGACCTCCCCAGGACAGAGACCTCTCCAGGCAGAGACCTCCCCAGGACAGAGACCTCTCCAGACAGAGACCTCCCCAGGACAGAGACCTCTCCAGACAGAGACCTCCCCCGGACAGAGACCTCCCCGGGACAGAGACCTCTCCAGGCAGAGACCTCCCCGGGACAGAGACCTACCCCAGACAGAGACCTCTCCAGGCAGAGACCTCCTCCAGGCAGAGACCTCCCCAGGACAGAGACCTCTCCAGACAGAGACCTCCCCGGGACAGAGACCTCTCCAGGCAGAGACCTCCCCCAGACAGAGACCTCCCCGGGATAGAGACCTCCCCGGGACAGAGACCTCCCCGGGACAGAGACCTCTCCAGACAGAGACCTCCCCAGGACAGAGACCTCTCCAGGCAGAGACCTCCCCAGGACAGAGACCTCTCCAGGCAGAGACCTCCCCAGGACAGAAACCTCCCCAGGACAGAGACCTCTCCAGGCAGAGACCTCCCCAGGACAGAGACCTCTCCAGACAGAGACCTCCCCAGGACAGAGACCTCTCCAGACAGAGACCTCCCCCGGACAGAGACCTCCCCGGGACAGAGACCTCTCCAGGCAGAGACCTCCCCGGGACAGAGACCTACCCCAGACAGAGACCTCTCCAGGCAGAGACCTCCCCCAGACAGAGACCTCTCCAGGCAGAGACCTCCCCAGGACAGAGACCTCTCCAGGCAGAGACCTCCCCAGGACAGAGACCTCTCCAGACAGAGACCTCCCCAGGACAGAGACCTCTCCAGACAGAGACCTCCCCCGGACAGAGACCTCCCCGGGACAGAGACCTCTCCAGGCAGAGACCTCCCCGGGACAGAGACCTCCCCCAGACAGAGACCTCTCCAGGCAGAGACCTCCCCCAGACAGAGACCTCTCCAGGCAGAGACCTCCCCGGGACAGAGACCTCCCTGGGACAGAGACCTCCCCAGACAGAGACCTCCCCGGGACAGAGACCTCTCCAGGACAGAGACCTCCCCGGGACAGAGACCTCTCCAGGCAGAGACCTCCCCGGGACAGAGACCTCCCCAAGACAGAGATCTCTCCAGGCAGAGACCTCCCCCAGACAGAGACCTCCCCCAGACAGAGACCTCTCCAGGCAGAGACCTCCCCCAGACAGAGACCTCTCCAGGCAGAGACCTCCCCGGGACAGAGACCTCCCTGGGACAGAGACCTCCCCGGGACAGAGACCTCCCCGGGACAGAGACCTCTCCAGGCAGAGACCTCCCCGGGACAGAGACCTCCCCCGGACAGAGACCTCCCCGGGACAGAGACCTCTCCAGACAGAGACCTCCCCGGGACAGAGACCTCCCCAGACAGAGACCTCCCCAGGACAGAGACCTCTCCAGGCAGAGACCTCCCCCAGACAGAGATCTCCCTGGGACAGAGACCTCTCTAGGACAGAGACCTCCCCAGACAGAGACCTCCCCAGACAGAGACCTCCCCAGGACAGAGACCTCCCCAGGACAGAGACCTCCCCAGGACAGAGACCTCCCCAGACAGAGACATCCCCAGGCAAAGACCTCCCTGGGTTGTAGAACACAGCTGGCAGAGCAGTTCCCAGTTCCCAGGGACAATGGGATGAAGACTAGAATTAAATTGTCTATTTTCAGCAAGTTTTTAATTTAGCAACTTCAGTGACTTTCAGGAAAATACAGATGCCGGTATTACCTACTGACACCAGTCCTCCTTGAATTTCATGCTTGTACCTTGTCTCCAGAATTCTTCTCCATTTCTTTCTCTTGACTTTCTTTACTCCAACTAACATTTCACCTGCAGGGTGCCCTCCACATCTTTATGAACAGGGAGTTGGGCAGGATGAAGAGCAACCTCCCAAGGCAGCAGCATCCCTGAGTGTTAGTGAAGACCCAGGGCCGACCCTTCCAGGTCTTCATGGAGGAGCTGCTGCAGGGCCCTGGAGGAAGGTCTCTGCCTCTGCTCACCTCTCAGAGCAGCTCTTCTAAATCAGCTCTCACAGACGTGCCCATGGGAGGGCAAGAGTTCTCGAGAATAATCACTTGTTGGGCTCCATCTGAATAGTCCTCCCATGACCCGTTGTCTGTCTCTGAGTCTGGACTCATGGTCAGGACTTTCTGGGTGAGGGATATTCAGCAAAGACTTTGTATAAACAACCACTCGTGCCTAGAGGAGGCCTAAGATGGCGTAGCAGATGGTACCAAGGATATATGCTCCAAGGCACTGATATGGCATGCCATGGCACGCACCCTTCCCCGAGTGGTGGGTGGTGAGCACTGGGGACCTGAGAGCTCAGGCTCCAGACACTGATTCAGTTTCCCCACAAAGGGCCTCACTAGCATCAAGTGAGAGTAGTTTCTTTTCCTCCATGGCCTGTATCTGTCTGGACTGTATTTGTAAGTTGTTCATTTACATTTTGCTGCAAAGGAGCTGAGAACACTAGGTGTTTATTCTGAGTTGCTACCCGTGTGTCCCAGGAGCATGTGATTTACTTCAACACGGAGCTCACGCGGGGCAGAGCAACTCCCGCTCTTGCAGAAGGGAGGGCTAGGAGCTCGTTGGGTCCCTGAGCGCCTGAGAGGCAGTTGTGCCCTGGGGTGCGGGGGGTGGTGTCTGCACGGGTCCAGTGCCTCGATCCCAGGTGGAAGAGCAGGATGGCGCTCTGTGCATCATGTCTGTGCCATCCAGGAGGCGGACGGCTGAGTCCTCACCCAGAGAGCAGCGTGGAGCCCAAAGCTCGCCTCTGGGACCTAGGACTGTGGCCTCTCCGTGGCTCCACGCAGCCGCCCCCCAGCCCCTCTCTATCAGGACGAGAACTTCCTGAACGCTCGTTACGGGTGCGCTTCCTTCTGTTTCACTCTGGAGGTGACATTTCACCATACCTGTGTTGGGCTCTGGTTGGTCCAGCTCTTACCCTCTGGCCACGTGTTCCATGCCGGCCATGCTCCCTGGGGACACGAGGCTGTCCTCAGAGCCTCCCTCCCCGCCCCGCCAGATGACAGAGTGCAACCAGAGCTGGTTCCAGTTGCCAGCAGCCACTTGTGACTGCAGGGCTCCCTCTGCCCGAAACCTTCATGCTTAAGTTTCTCAGCTCATGTTCTTCTCTGGGCAGACTTGCCCACTCGGGGCCCTCGCTGCTGTGAAGATCAAACTAATTACCTACAAAACAACGCGGAAGTTCTTCCCAGCCCACTGGTGCCATTTGCCTGTTAAGACAAGGCAGCCCACGGACGAGATAATGGCAGGAAAGATACATCTGCTGGGTTCAGAAGAAAATGGGAGAATTGATTTCCTCTGCCCCGGCCTGGGAGCTAATAGACTGTGACTCAAGATTCAAGAGCTGGTGGTGACTCAGGGATGAGGAAGCCGTACATTGAGTCACTTTAGGTCGTTACCTGGGCGCCTCCTGGCCCACGGTGACCCCGGGCGCTGGCCATTTCGTTCCGTCAGCCTGGTGCGATCAATGCCCACCTTCCTGTGTGGCTCACGATCAGTGGTGATGGGTCCACTGCCCACGGCAGTGACGCCGAACATGTCACCTCTCCTGCTGTAGTCGTGTCTTCCGTGCCCCGCTGCCCGCTCCTGCTGCAGCTTGATGTCTCAGAGCCCTATGGTCAGAACAGGCTTCCCAGTTACCTTCCCAGCCCACGTCCCCGATGGCGCGCTTAGCTCTCCTTCCATCGCTTGGCGTCTGGAGCTCCCAGGGTGGTGGGTGTCAGTGTCCTGATGGTGGGTGCAGCTCCGTCTTCCAACCACTGAGTCCCACCTTCTGCTCCAGGTCTGCTCACAGACATGCAGGTGTCAGCTGTGGACCTCCTGCCGACATAGTCATGCTTCTGGTGGCCAGGTCACCCCCGGGGGGCCAGGCAGGGGCCAGGCAGGTCCCGGCCAAGTGAGAAGAAAGAGCTGAAGCCCCTTTGTTAAGGGAGGTTGAGGCACCCACCCAGGTCTCTCTTGAGATTTCCTGGGTTGTGAGCTTATGTGTGGTGCTCAGAGAGCCAGGGGTGGGGGGGATCCCCTGCCCCATCCAGGCCCCCCGCCATCAGCTGTACCTAGAGCCTGTGCCTCAGTGGGCCCAGCAGATGGTGCAGGAGACTCAGAGGCATGCAGGGGTGCAGCCTTAGTTCATTTCAGTCGCTCAGTCCTGTCGAACTCTCTGTGACCCCATGGACTGCAGCACGCCAAGCCTCCCTGTCCATCTCCAACTCCCAGAGCTTACTCAAACTCGTGTCAATGGAGTCGGTGATGCCATCCAACCATCTCATCCTCTGTCATCCCCTTCTCCTCCTGCCTTCAGTCTTTCCCAGCATCAGGGTCTTTTCTAATGAGTCGGCTCTTTCGCATCAGGTGGCTAAAGTATTAGAGCTTCAGCTTCAGCATCAGTCTTTCCAATGAATATTCTAGGTTGATTTCCTTTGAGATGGACTGGTTTGATCTCTTTGTTGTTCAAGGGACTGTCAAGAATCTTCTCCAGCACCACAGTTTGACAGCATCAACTCTTCAGGGCTCAGCCTTCTTTATGGTCCAACTCTCACATCTGTACGTGTTGGTTCCCTTCTTTTCCAGCCGCTGTTTATGCTCTAACCACAACTGCAGTTATAACAGAGACTTTAGCAATTATGACCAAATAATCCCAGCCTGAAAATTAGTTTTGAGAAGCATATACACAGATAAGAGCCTGGAGCAGAGATTGCCAGATACAAGCACTATTTTCCTTCATGTTTCTTAGCAGCTGAGGCAGAGAAGTAGACATTCTGGGTTGTATGAATCTCATCCAAGCCAGATGACAAACTTCCCTGGCTCTAGATTCAAGAAGGGACACGTGGCGAGGGTGCCGCTGACTGTCTCATAGAAAACATTCCTGCAATGTTCACACAAGAGTCACAAATATGCTGTGGACACGTCTCAGCTCCAGGCGGGCATCTGCGACTCTTGACTCCCCTTGCAAAGCCGACAGGAGGTGTGGGCACAGAGCCTGGCAGGCAGAGACATGCTGTGGATGGTAGACATGAATGCCACTGTCCTTATGGAAGTTCAGGCCCCACCCCCGAGCCCTCGGGTGATGCTGAAGCCACACGGCCATCATGGGCTTCAGTCTAAACATGAAGGGGATAGAGGAGAACCCAGAGAACAGATGTGTCAACTTGCTGAGCCTCAGCTGACCAGTTGCAAACAATCCAGGCTGAAGTCTTGGTTTGGCACCTTAGCAATGATGCTAAGCCCTAGGAAATGGCTTGGGGGCCCAGTTTGGGGACAGAGGGATATTCAAAATGGTGCCTCTCCGATGACCTGGATGCTGTTAGGACCTCCAGGACACCCCACCCTGCCTGGTTCTGGAGTGGGGTGGGCAGCATCTTGGCCACGCTCATGTGAGGCATGGACAAGACCACAGCTCCAGCCGAGTGCCAGGGGGACGGGGGATGTGGCGCCTCCTGGAGCCCTGCGTCTGAGTGCGGTGATTCCAGTGACCCACTGAGTGAGGCCCACCGCTTGTCCATTTCAGCATCCAGGTGGCGACGAGCCCACCGATGCCGACGTGGAAGAGGCGGCCCTCAAGAGAAAGCTGGAGGAGCTGACCAGCCATGTCAGTGACCAAGGGGCCTCATCCGCGGAGGAAGAGGGCACGGACTCAAGGGCTGGGATGGGCAGAAGCAAGCCTGCCGAGGGCCACCGCAGGGCCACATGGGAGGTGAGTCCCCCCAGCAGTCTCAGCAGGAGACAGGGGGAGGCAGGGCCAGGGATCAGCAGTTTGTGACTAAGCCACCAGACCGGCCACAACCCCTGGTGGGGAGGGCCCCGGGTGTCCGGCCACCGCTGGAGTGCAGAGAGAAGCAGCGTCAGGATGGGACGTGTGTCAGTGAGAGCCCCGCGGCCTCTCCAGCTGGTGGTCACACTTGGGGCTTCCCTGTCCTAGGTAGGCACGGCTGCAGGCCAAACCCCCAGCCGGGAAAAGGACCCGCTGAGTCCTGGGGACCCCGAGCAGCCCAGCAGGACCACGGAGGCGGAGCTGGCGGAGCTGGAGGGCCGAGTGGCCGCCACGGCCTGTGAGGTGCGGCGGACAGAGAGCCAGGTAGGCGGGTGGCCGCGCGATGCCTGCCCCGCTCGGGAGACGAGACTTGTTCGCTTCACAAGAAGGAATAAGTGAACCCGAAGTCCCCAGGCTGGCCTGCCGCCTGGAACGTGCGCGGCCTGGAGACACGCCACTCTCCTCGGGGACAGAAGGGCACCCCAGACAGATGGTGGGGGCCCTGAAAGCCTGGGAGGGGCCCGGAGAACTCACATAGCGCAGCCCATGCTGTCGGCTCCAGAGCAGGACTTTGGGGGTTTCTGTGGGAACCACTCTCCTCACCCCTGGGAGCAGGTGACCCTTCCGGTGACCATGGAAGATGGGTGAAAATGAGGTCCCCCAGGAAGTGCCCCTGGTTGGGACACCCATCTTCCCACTTAGGGGAAGTGTCATATTAGTCAATTCGATGAAGCCGGAGCAGCTGCTCTTTCTGGTCTGCGACATTGAGAAGGGACTTCCACGTGACGTCTATCTGTCCTTCCTCCAGGTTTCGAATATCGAGTCCAGGATTGCAGCCTTGCGGGCAGCAGGGCTCACCGTGCAGCCCTCGGGAAAGCCCCAGAGGAAGTCTAACCTCCCGGTGAGTGGAGGGACGTCGGGGCCCTGGGAGGTCGTGCCTGGAGCCCTGGGAGGGGGGCACAGGGTGGCCTGGGGCAGGGAGAGCCCCCACCAGCTGCCTCCCTCTTCCCTCCCCTGATGTCAGTGACCTGGGTGGGATTCTTTTTCATCTGTTACTGCCTATTCTAACATAAAGAGCGCTTCACAGGGAGGGGGGTGCCTGGACGGGCTTAATAGAGCTCCGCTTCACAGCGGGTGCAATCGAGGGGCAGGGTGGAGATCCACCCACAACAGACACCTGAGAGTGACATCTTCCTTCCCGATTCAAGTCGGGGATCCCCAGACAGACCACACTGAGGAAATCTGGCAGAAGAATGGCAGGTGCTCCCAGGAGAGCCCCAGGGTCAACTGCCAGGACGCCCCAGTTGAACCTGAACTTCAGATGCTCGACAAGTCATTTCCTCGTATAAGCACACCCTGTGCACTCTTTGGGGCATGCATACAGTACTGTTCACTTGTGGTTGATCTGCAATTCAAAGCCAGCTGGGCATTCCATATTTTAATCTGCTGAACCCAGAGCCCTGCAGTGGCATGTTTGGAGGACTGACAGGTCATCCCAGCCTTTCAGGCCGAGTAATAGAAAGAACTTACATCCTTAGTCCTGCTCACCTCCCCTGTGGCTGGAGGTCAGACAAGCTGTCATGATGCACAGACACCTTCCTTGTTCTCCAGATCTTTCTCCCCCGGCTTGTCAGGAAATCTAGCCAGAGTCTGATGGATCCAAATGCAGACCCTTTGAATGAGGCCGAGGTATGTGTTCACTGCACCCAGGCTCGAGGGGGTGGGAGAGGGTAAACGACTGGCCTGACTTTTCTAGCAGCGGGACAAGCCAGTGGGCGGTGGAGCTGAAATATGCAGACTTTAAGAAGCCTGGCGAGTCTCACAGGCTGGCTTCCCACAAAGGCAAGGCTTGATGTAGGGTGTCTGTAGGAGGGGAAAGAAGCTGGGAAAACCCAGCAGGGGAGTAGGAGGATGGGACAGCGGCAGGGCTGGGGTAGGGGCTGGGGCGGAGGCGGGCAGAACCCCCGTCAGGGTAACCGGCTCAGGGTAACATGAAGCCCCTGAGACACCGCAGGTCACAGGGGAGTCGTCCTGTGCCTGGACCACGTGCTGGACGTGAATCCCCCGCGTGCTCACTGGTCACAGGGGACGCATATTCACAGGCACAGCGTCTGGAACGGCCCTGCTCTGGGAGCCGCGCGTCCAGGCTGTGGGAGGGAAGCACTGAGCCTCTGTGCAGGAAGCAGCAAAAGGGTAGACGTTGGGTGGGTGGGGACACCCCTCAGCCTGCCCATCAGGAAGACACAGAGTGGGGGTGGGAGGGAGGGGGGCAGGTGCCAGTCCCAGGGCCCCACGGAGAGCGGCATCTGCCCCACGTCCTGCCAGCTCCCGGAGATCTCGAGTGACCATCTAGTCGCTTCTGCTCTCATGACAGCGGCACTGGGTCACTCTTCCCAGTAAAGACGGTATTTTTACCGTCCCTTCCATCTGAGGTTTACAGCACCTGGTGAACTGGGGCAGACACCACCCCTGTTGCAGTGATGGAGGGAGACCACCGAGCTAGAGGGTCTCAGGCAGGCCCCCTGGCCCCGATCCCACCCTCTTCCCAGGGCCGTGACCTCCCTGACGTGTCGCGGGACGCCCGGCCCTGGAGGCGTCCACAACCAGCCTCCCGGTACAGCCACAGAGCAGCCGGGCTGAAACCCCAGGGGCCAAGTTTGGCAGGACTTCCAGGGAAGTCAGGCTGTTTGCCTCTTGCTTCCCCCTGAGGAGGCAAAACAGAAAGAATTATCCCAGAGTAGAGAGCCAAGCAACAGGAGAGGGTGAGGGGAGGGGAGGGAAGGGAGGGTGCGGGCCAGCAGCCATGGGTGCTGGGCGTTGTCGTTGTTCAGTCGCTGAGTCGAGTCCGACTCTTTGCGACCCCATGGACTGCAGCACAGCAGGCCTCCCTGTCCCTCACCATCTCCTGAAGCTTGCTCAAACTCATGTCCATTGAGTCAGTGATGCCATCCAACCGTCTCATCCTCAGTCGTCCCCTTCTCCTCCTGCCTTCAATCTTTCCCAGCATCAGGGTCTTTTCCAGTGAGTCAGTTCTTCACATCAGGTGGCCAAAGTATTGGAGTTTCAGCTTCAGCATCAGTCCTTCCAATGAATATTCAGGGCTAATTTCCTTTAGGATTGACTGGTGTCATCTCCTTGGAGTCCAAGGGACTCTCAAGAGTCTTCTCCAACATCACAGACTCTTGAGAGTCCCTTCCCAAAACTAGCAGTTCTCCAAAAGGCAAGCATCTCTTTTATATTCTCTATATTTGGTAATGTATTGATAACATGCATTTTAGTACTGTTTAAAGTTCTAATATTGCCAAAAAACAGAAGACAGTTAGCTTCATTTATCAGAATTTGCTTGAACGATGAGAAATTTGCATTTGCCTCTTGGTGCCCCTAACAATCAGAGTGACATAGTGACAGCCAGAGACGTGTCATTCTTCTAGATGGAGGCTGTGCCCTGTCTCGGGAAGAGGAAGCTCAGCAACCACCCCAAAAGCCAAGGTAAGAGTCACTTGCTCCCCTCATTACCCAGGCCTAAGAGAGCATGAAAAGGACCAATCAGGGCTCGGGACTTCTACATGAGCCATGGGACACAACGTCTCATGCCCTGACACCCATAGGACACCCCAGTGTCCCCTGGCCACCCCCAGCGACTGTTGCAGTGAGTTGATGCCTGGATCCCTGGAATTTTCTGCTTTAAGCACATAAAGGTGGAGTGGTGGTGTCTGTGTCTTGCGATATAATTTGTACATATACAGTATGGCACGAGTGGTAAAAAAAATCAGCGTGCCAGTCAGGAGACATAAGAGACACAGGTTCGATCCCTGGGTCGGGAAGATCCCCTGGAGAAGGAAATGGCAACCCACTCCAGCATTCTTGCCTGGGAAATCCCATGGACAGAGGAGCCTGGCGGCTACAGTCCATGGGGTCGCGAAGAGTCAGACACCGCTGAGCACGCACATGCATGCACGGTGCACAGCTCCAGACCTTCTCACACAGAGTGTGGGACACAGTTAGTTTCTTGATGTCTTGGACATGAAGGACAAGGACAGCATTCATCCTGGATGGTGCGTTTGTTTTCATGCTCCTTTTAAAATTTCTTGGGAGGCGAACACACTTGTTTGAGCTAAGTGTGTGATTAATATAACAAGCCCCCTTCTGTTTTCTCCAAAGACAAAGATGTTGACTCCTTCAGTCGGAAGTCCGTGTACCGCGGATCCCTGACCCAGAGAAACCCCAACGGCAGGAAGAGAGCCGCCAACCACAGCTTTGCGGTAAGTTTTCTCGGTTCACCGGGGCGGCTTCTGTGACCTGTCAGGCTGATACATGAAGTCTTCAAAGTAAACAGTTGGGATAAACTCACAAGAAAAGTAAGATCAACGGAAGATCTAAAGGAAAATAGAAAACATTTCTAAAGGTACCTGAGTGTCAGGCTGATGGGGGAGGTCGCCTCACCCTGGGGGTCTGGGCTTGGGATCCGGGATGGCCCACGAGGCAGTGGGGACTCCCCGCCCAGCCCCGCGCACCTTACCTGTGCGGTAAAGGTCGTGCAGCTGAGCCACCTGTGCAGATGCCGGGGTCGGCGCTGTCCCCCAGCTTCACTGGGAGGGACCTCGGTACAGAGGGAGCCTGGGGTTCCCCCCCAAGCCCAGGGACCAGAGTCACGTCCACGGCCCAGGAGTGGGCAGGAGTCCTCAGTGACCACCATCAGGGTCCCAACACCCTGGATTCCCACCGCTGTCCACACCCACACCCCACCTGCCGGCTGCAACCACCCAGCAACAATTCTGACTTCATCCCGGTTATGCGAGTCTGAGCCGATGCCTTGGCTGTCCAAGAAGACAAAGTGACTGCTCTGTTATTTCCACGGACTCCATCTTTAAACACATTTCAAGGGATTTCACAACACTCACTGCTGATGCCTGTAGCTGGGAGATGGGCAGGCAGGTGGGGCCCACGGGTCTGACACAGCCAGCGTCAGCCCACCCCAGACGAGGCTCCCCGCCCGGCCCCACGTGAGCCAGGCAAAGGCCGCCTGGGCCGTGGCCAGAGCAGGGCCATTCCCTGCAGGAGACTGATAATGAAATCGCCAGTGGGGGCTTGAAAATCTAAGTGCTTCCAAATGAGAACACACCTTCCTGTGTTTCAGCGCCTTCAGCTGTCAGATACTTTCCATCTTCACAGCCCGTTTGATGAGGGCCAGTGTCATGGACCCAAATTCATAGGTGGGGAGACTGAGGCAGAGAGAGGTTGAGTGAAAAACCAGTGGGGTTTGACCGATGCCCTCTGACCAGCAGGTCCATGGGTTTGTGTGTGCAGTTGTGTGCCCTCCTGTGTGCGTGTGTGTGTGTCTGCGTGCATGCCCGTGTGTTTCTATGTGCACACACTCACGTGTCTAAGTGCGTCTTTACTCGTGTGCACGCCTGTGTGTTTCCGTGTCCCTCTGTCCTCGCCTGTGAGTTTCTGTACCTGTGTGTGCCTATGTGTACGGCTGTGTATCTCACACCCACTTGTGCATATGGTGTGTCCGTGTGTGTTTCTGCTCCACAGAAACCTGTGATGACCCACCAGCCCTAAGAGGAGAGGTTCGCCAGGACAGGACACCCACCCTCTTCCCCTCCACCTCGGTCACTGCATCCCGCCTCCTGCCCAGCACTTTCCGCTGCACACAGCCCAGTGGAGGAAGAAGAGACCCTAGCCCATGTTGGAAACCCACCCACGAGCTGTCAGCAGTTCTCAGACCGTCAGCTCTTCGCCCAAGTTCATGGACAACCTCCAAGGCCACCTGGTCCATGGCTGCTCTGATTCGTTAAGAGGCATCTAGGCTGTACGTCTTTCCCTTAGGGCGCTGTGGTTTAAGCTTTCTGAAGAGGACAAAGATGTTTCTCAGTGTGATCCCATACCCCCTCCCTGCTGGCTTCCTGATGCTGCTTTCATGACCGGCATGGACAGGAGAGGACGCGGTGACCACCCAGCCGTCTGTGTACTCCTGAGTGTGTCTGTGGGTCGTGGGCAGAAGTGTGAGCACTCCTGGACATCGGGACAAGTGACTGGACTCTGGTCTCTCTGAATAAGAAGGAGGGAAGGCTGTCAGATCTCCTTGCACACACACCCCATCTTCAAGTTCACCCATGCTTCGCAGGCTGGGAGAGAGGACCCCGTGGTCCAGGACAGAGCGTGCAGGGGAGAGCAGGTGGGCGTCCGCTCACAGCCCGGGTGTCGGGGCACACCACCTGCTGGGAGGCCCCGGGGGCACGCTGGACGGGCGGGCAGAAGGCTGGGCTCCAGCCCGGCACTGCCGCTCACTGCAGTGGGATCAGTGGGGCAAAGGACCAGCTGGTGACCCCCGCCAGCCACTTGCCATCCGTCCGTAGACGAGCTCCAAGTCCTCCTCCTCGGACAGTCTGGGAGTCAGGGTGCGGCCCGGCTTTAAGGGGAGCCCACTGGGACCCTCTGCAGCTGCCTTGGGCACAGTAACCACATCTCGCCTTCCGGGCGTGGCTGGGGGCTCACGGGGACCTGTTTATTTGAACATCAGAGCAGCCCATTCTGCAGAGTGGAGCCCTGAGGGTGAAGCAGCCTCCCGCTGGGCCGGAAGCCACCTCATGACCCTCTAATGCCTTCCGAGGCGACTTTGGGTCCGCTCTCACTTCCTTCTCCCAGTGGCTGGGTGCTCGTGTTCAGTGGTAACTGAAAGGAGATGGTGAACCTATGATGCCCAAGAGCCTTGCCTACTAAGATGTTCTTCCGACCTGACTGTCTCCCCATGGCTTACATATTCTGCACCACGAGCTCCGATCCCATCCGCACTGACCCTGCAGTGTCTCAGTCCCCGCAGGGGCCGCGTTGCCCACAAACTGGCCCTCGGCCGCTCCAGGGCGATTGTCAGAATCGGCATCTGCATTGATCCAGATGACCTGGGCTTTGGCAGTGTGCTGGGGTTTGTGGAAAAGATGGAGCTGATCCTCCTTCTCCAAATGAAAGCTGCTTCACAATGGCAGCTCCTAAATTCAGTGCTGGAAATGATTCAAGATGCCTGTGCGTGGAAGAGGATGGGTTCTTTGTGGTGTGCAGTCCTTCTTATTCACAAAGAAAACGGGGTCGACATGAGCTCCTAGCCTTCGGGGGGAGGCAGTCCTGGCTAGCCTGGAGCCCTGCCCTGGAGGTGAGGGTAACAGGCCCACCAAGGACCAGAGTGGCCACTTCGCTCCACGGCTAACTTGAGTGCAGAGACCTTCCAACCTGGAAACACACTGGTGCCTCTTTCCAAAGGCCCCTCTCAGGGGTCTCCGATTAGGTCCACAGCTGTACTCACTCATTCATTCGTTCACCTGATGGTGTGCACGGCCCAGGGATCTGTGTTCATCAGTGGCCGTGGCCAGACCATCAGGGATGTGAGTTCTCCCGGTCCCGTGCTGGCTCCTCGGCCCTTCCTGCCTCCCCTCCTTCCCTGTCAGGACCATGGCTTTAGGGGCCCATGGCTGGTCTGCCGCCCAGACACCCCGAAGTCCCCTGCACAGACCAGCCACCCCTTCCTCCGGCATCTCAACGTCAGCCCGTCCTTCTGACCCCAGATCTCACCCCCACACCCCGCTGCGCCCACTCAGGTCACCTCCATCCTCCGCGGGGGCTCTGGGCAAGGCTCTGCCCTCTCTTCAACCTCACGTTCTGTCGGGAAAGCTGGCCTCTGCCTTCTGCGTACACCTCCGCCCTCTGCCTTCCCACTTCATCAGCAGCCGTGTCACTGATTCGGGATTTTTCTTTCAGGTTTATTTTTGATGTGGACCACTTTTAAAGTCTTTATTGGATTTGTTACACTAGCTTCTGTTTTATGTTTTGGTTTGTTGTGGCCGCAAGACATGTGGGATGTTAGTTCCCCGACCAGGGATCAAACCTGCTCCCCCTGCATTGGAAGGTGAAGCCTTAACCCCTGGGCCCAGGGACATCCCTGGGATGTGTTTCTATGCCAAAGGCGTGTGCTCTGCTGACTCCAGGGCGGCAGCTCTGGTTTCATGGGCCTCCTAGCCCTCTGCCTTCAGTGCCACCCTGGGCTTGTTTTATACCTGGATGTGTTGCATGGGTGCTGTGCTTTCATTTCCAGCATGACCTGTGGTCCAGCGTGTGGTTGTCCTCTCGAGAGCATCCTTGTGACTTGTGGACCCTGTTTCCCAGGACCACTGGCTGCTTGCTGCCACACTTGGGGCAGCCCGGGGCGTCATGAAAGTCACCAGAACCCCACTGCACCTTGCCTTTCCAGCCCCGGGCAGCCTTGAGAGGAGGCAGCCCCCTGGCCTGGGCCCCACAGTCCTGTCAGTTTGGAGGGACGATGTTCAAGGCGGATCAGCCCTTCCCTTTTCTCCAGAGCCCCTCTGCTCCTGTTCTGTCCTGAGGCTGTCCACTGCAGCGGTCTGGGTCAGGTCAGCAGATCTGGCCACATCCCTATGTTTCTTGTGTCTGTGGTTGTTTCTACGCTACAAAATCAGAGCTGAGTACGTATGGGAAATTTGTGCTGACCCCTGGTCCAGGCCCGTGGCACTGACCTGGGCAGTGGGGGCTGGCAAGCGTCATCTCAGGCAACGCCAAGTAGGGAGGAAGGACCAGACCGTGTTTACCTCCTGCATCTTCACCCCAGCCTCCCCGCACCCCAGGTACTGCCACCATCACCCAAACCACCCATCCCAGGTGGCTGTCTGCCTCCCACCCCCCGAGGCTCTTCTCAAAGTCTGGCTTTGCTTGTTTTCTTGTTCTATAATGACTGCAAGTTTTGTTTGGTGAAGGAGCCAGAATCGAGGAATAAGTGATGAGTTAGTCGCTCAGTTGTGTCTGACTCTTTGCGACCCCATGGGCTGTGGCCCGCCAGGCTCCTCTGTCCTTGGAATTCTCCAGGCAAGTACTGGAGTGGGTTGCCATTTCCTTCTCCAGGGGGGACCCCCAACCCATTGGCAGGCAGACTCTTTACTATCTGAGCCACCAGGAAAGCCCAAAGGAGCCAGAATGAGGGGAGGAGGAAGGAGCCAGCATCTCCCATTCACTCACCATCTCAGCAAAACACCGAATACTTTGTGTCTTGGAAAACACACCCCACACAGCCTGACCTCGATGGGCCCCCAGCGGCTCAAACAGATGACTACAAACTGGGCAGCTTAGAATGGCAGAAGTGTATCCTCTGGCAGAGGCTGAAGTCCAGAGTCGAGGGGCGTGCAGGGCCGTGCTCCCCGCAGAGGCTCCGGGAGACTCTCCGCGGCCTCTGCCCGGCTCTGGAGACTCCTGCTGTCCCCCACCGGTGGCCTCCTCCCTCTAGTCTTGGACTCCACCACCACCCAGGCCCTTTCCCTGTGTCTCCTGTCTGTCTGTCCCAAACCTCCGTCTGCCCTTCTCTTACAAGGATCCTCATCGTTAGATTTAAGGCCCATCTGGATTCTCCAGGACAGTCCCCTCATCTCAAGATCTTTACCCCAATCACACAAGCAAAGACCCTGTTCTGAAAAAGGTCATGTGTGCACTTCCCTGGTGGTCTAGTGGTTAAGACTCCATGCTTCCAATACAGGGAGCACAGGTTCTATCTCTGGTCGGTGAACTAAGATCCCAAGTGCCACGTGAACACTCCCCCTCCAAAAACAAAGCATCTTGCAGGCATTCCCTGGGGCTCATGGGTCCCGGCAAGAGCAGCAGAGAATCTCACCTGCATGTGCCCCACCAGCTGCCCTGACACCTGCAGCTCCCCAAGGGCCCCTCAGTCACGCTGGGTCCTCTGATGACCGCCCCCCAGAGACCACGGGGTGGGGGACTTCATTCCGCTCTGTCAGCAGGGCCGCTTTCTCTGCTCTGGGATGAGATGGGAGAGGCTGGAGCGGTGCCACTGCCTGCTGGCGGACCCCTGAGTAAAGCAGTCAATAGACAGTCTACAGCAGGAATAGGAAAGGGCTCTATCTGAGCCAAACTGAGGGCTACAGCCCAAGACATGGCCTCTCAGATCGCTCAGAATCCTCTCCGGAGAAGCAGGCTTTCAGCAGCTTTGTGTCTCGCCAGAACAAAAAAGCATTAAAGTCAGGGATACATCCCTTCAAGGTTTCAGAAACAGAACAGATCAGCGCGCGCACAGTGAGTCAGCACAGCCCTGGCACCTGGGAGGGGAGTCTTATCACCAAAGGAGGACCAGCCTTGGGGCCCCAGGACGGGAGGCATCTCATCTCTATTTTGAACATGGGCGTTCTTAGTTGGGTGGCTTCCCAGGCGACTCAGTGGTAAAAAACCCCCCCAACCCCTCGACAATGCAGGAGGCACAGAGTCTCGGGTTTGATCCCTGGGCAGGGAATATCCCCTGGAGGAGGAAATGGCAATCCACCCTGGTGTTCTTGTCTGGAGAGTGCCATGCACAGAGGAGCCTGGCGGGCTACAGTCCATGGGGTCGCAACAGCTGGGCACGGCTGAGCGTGAACAGCGACATTCTTTACTTGTGGTCAATGAGCCTTTTCCTTTCTGAGTTTGGGCAGGTGCACAGTCTATGTCTGATGGGCCACACACAGGCTGTTCCAGTCGGTATCAAAGTCAAGGTGGCTCCCATATAAGTGGGCCTTCCCTGATGGCTCAGTTGGTAAAGAATCCACCTGGAATGCAGGAAATCCCAGTTCTGGGTTCCATCCCTGGGTCAGGAAGATCTCCTGGAGAAGGGAACGGCTACCCACTCCAGTATCCTGGCCTGGAGGATTCCACAGACTGTATAGTCCACAGGGTCGCAAAGAGTCAGACACGACTGAGCAAGCTTCCCTTTCCCCTATAAGCCAGGATGACTTTCCCAGGCCTCAGTATGTGGACATTTCTTTCATCAGCACCAACCCTGCACCGTGGCGAAGATGCTTGGCTGAAAGGAGAGGGTTCACTACCCCACACACTCACGCACACACAAGCACATGGTCCCCCAATGGTCTGCCCAGGAAGCTGCCTCCAGCTGCCCTGGTCTCATGGGGTCCGCTCCCCCGAGGGCCTGGTGCCAGGCAGTCCTGCAGGGAGAGGAGGAAAGGCCCCCTCCAGACGGGGGCTGGCCCCAGCAGTGCTTCCAGCAGCACTCCTCAGCAGAGCCACTCTGACCCCCGCTCACCCTGCGCTCCCCAGGGATCTGGGGACTCCATCCCAGGGGCCTCACCTTGCAGCCAGGGTGTGGGCCGGGCCCCTCTTATGCCCCTCACGCTCCGTAGACACACCCCTCACCAGCACCTGTCCCCCCGACCTCCACTCCAGACTCCCAGCGAGCCCACCCACCCCCTACAAAGCCTTCATCACCAGGAATGCGCACCCATGGGAGGAACGAGAAGCACGCCTGACCCTCTGAGGGTCCGGAGCTGCTCTGGAACTTTCCTCAAAGTCCGATGGAGGCTGGGGAAGGGCCACGGAGCCCCTGCACACGTCCCAGGGGAGCAGCCGGGAGGGGTCCCCCCAGCATGGGCTCAGCGGCGTGTAAATGACCTTTGCTATGTTGTTCAGTCGCTCAGTCGTGTCCGACTCTGCAACCCCATGAACCGCAGCACGCCAGGCCTCCCCGTTCGTCACCAACTCCCGGAGTTTACTCAGACTCGCGTCCATCAAGTTGGTGATGCCACCCAACCGTCTCATCCTCTGTCGTCCCCTTCTCCTCCCGCCTTCAATCTTTCCCAGCATCAGGGTCTTTTCCAGTGGGTCAGCTCTTTGCATCAGGAGGTCAAAGGACTGGAGCTTCAGCTTCAGCATCAGTCCCTCCAATGAATATTCAGGGTTGATTTCCTTTAGGATGGACTGGTTGGTCTCCTATCATTATTCAGAATATGAGGCCCAAGTGAAATGGAAAACAATGTGTAGTTATTTAAAATAGTGTAAGTGTACAGATTTCTTCACAACTTGAGGATATGATGGTTAAATGGAAATAATGAGATTCAAAAATGCTTGAATCCCATGAACCTACCCAGAATATAGGTGAAAAGGCTATGAAAAGCAAGTACATCACATGGGATAAATGATTGACTTCTCTGATACATGGGTGTTCTTTTATTCCTATTTTTCTGTATGTGCTAAATTCTATCCAAGTGTATGTAAATTGCTTTTATAATAAAAATAAGCCTCTTCATTATTTATTTCATAATAGAAATACAAGTGTTTGTTTTATAATCATAGCTTCCCAGGTGGTTCTAGTGGTAAAGAACCCTCCTGCCAATGCAGGAGATGTAAGAGACACGGGTTCAATCCCTGGATCAAGAAGATTCCCCTAGAAAAGGGCACAGCAACCGCCTCCAGTATTTTTGCCTACAGAATCTCATGGACAGAGAAGCCTGGCGGGCTACGGTCCATAGGATTGCAAAGAGTCAGACACAACTGAAGCATCTTAGCATATGTTATTTATTTTATAAGAAATGTACACATTTGTTTTATAATCATAATGTGTGTGTGTGTGTGTGTGTGTGTGTGTGTTCATTGCTCAGTCGTGTCTGATTCTTTGCGATCCTATGGACCATAGCCCACCAGGCTCCTCTGCCCTTGGGATTTTCCAGGCAAGAATACTGGAGTGGGTTGCCATTCCCTTCACCAGATAATAATCATAATAAACTTCTTTAAAGTGTAATTATGACGACTCTGGAAAGAGCTGGAATAAACATAGTTTTTCAGTGGTAGAAACAGGACGAAAGTGGTCTGTATGTAATAAATGCAGCTGTAAAAGGCCCATGGGTGACAGACCGGCCAGGGAAGGATTAGCAGGATTAGAAGGATTCAGCTGTGACGGCCTCCTCGGTGACTCTGCACGGAAAGCGGGTATTAAAGGAGGAGGGAGGTGGCTGGAGGGTCAGCTCTGTATCAGCCGTCTTGCAGCTCAGAGCACCCAGGCCGGCGGTGCCTGGCTCTGCAGTCTGCCCAAAGCGTGCAGAAGGAAAGCTAATGTGTTTTAAAACCACTCAGCTCAAATGAAATTATATAACCCAGGAAAGGACACATCACATTGGTGATGAGAGTTAAAAAAAAAATTAGAAGAAAAAAGAAAATGACTCTTCCGATGTGGCCCAGTGAGGGAGGCGGGCGGAGAGGGAGGGAGGGGGTCGGGTCAGCTGCTTCCTCCCGGGCGCATAAAAGGGGCGAGTGCACCCCACCTGGGTCTCCGCTCCCGTCCACGGCACTCGCCAGCCGCTGGGAACCTCGGTGAGTCGCTCGCGGGGCACTGGGGAGGGCGGGAGTCCCTGACGCTCCACCCTCCGCCCCTGCCACCCTTCCTTCCCCATCGGGGCAAGGCTCAGTCCTGGCAGCCAGGACCAGCTCTGGTGGGGACCCCACCCCATTTGTGCATCCAGGGGCCACCCTGCCTGTTCTGGCCCCCGTCCACTCAGCTGTCATGGTAGAGACGAAAGGCGGAGCCGTCCAGGCAACTCCGCTGGGGACACAGACCAAGAGCCCCACCAGCCAGGAGACAGCAAGCCCCCAGCTATCAGGAGGCAGGACCTTGAGGGTCAGGAGACAGGCTCCTCCAGGGTTCTCCTAAGATGCCCTGCACCCAGCGGGGGTCCCAGCCAGGGGGAGAGCGGACAGCCCCGCGCGTCTGGTAGCATCTCTTTATCACTGCACTTTCATGACGACACCTCCATTTCCTCTAAGTGGGAGTCCCCCTGACAACGGGTCTCTAAAAAAGGAAGGGGTGGACATTTCAAATCTCTCAGTTGGAGAGCACGTTCCTTGGGGTAGGGCTTCCCGGGTGGTTCAGACAGTAAAGAATCTACCTGCAACGCGGGAGACACAGGTTTGATCCCTGGGTAGGGAAGATCCCCCAGAGGAGGAAATGGCTACCTACCCTAACCTAACCCTAAGAATACCCTCCAGTATTCTTGCCTGGAGAGTCCCAGGGACAGAGGAGCCTGGCGGGATACAGTCCATGGTGTTATAGAGTCGGACATGACTGAGGGACTAACACTTTCAGTTTCCGCTGGGCTCTGGGACAGGCTGGAAAGCCAAGGTCAGCAGAGGGGTCTTCCCCAAAACAGACAAGCTCTCTGGAGTCTTCTGCTGGTTCCTTAAGTGCCGGGGGAGGGGGGGACGGGGGAAGGAGCCAGCCCTAAGAGGTGCGGGCACCTGCGGAAAGAGTTGCCAGGTTTGCTTGGATGGACTCTGTTTTGGGCTCAGCCCAGCAGGGTGAGAAGTGGATTTCTGGGTGCCTCTGGCACCCACAGCTCTCCCCCACCTGTACGGGGCTGTCCTGCTGCGTGAGGGCAGGTCCCCTCGGGCTGCTGGTTGATCTTGGAGACTCAGCGGTTTGGACCTGGGGTCACGGGGTTGGTGAGCGCCCCTGGTAGGGATGGGGGATGATGACCCTTCCACAGTGCCCGGCTGTCAGCTGACATTCTCCAGCGGGCAGGGAGCAGGGTGGAACTGGGCTGAGGGAGGGAAACAGCCCTGCACTGGGGCCCCGCCCAGAGCACGGTCGGGCTCGTTGCCCCCCGGCCCCGCCCCCGGGTCACGTCTGAGGTTGGGCCACAGCCCCTCCACCTCGGCAGCTACCCGGCTCCCCCTGGCAGGGACCCACCAACCTACTCGCCTCTGCCGTCCCCCCCTCAACCCCGCCGAGGCCAAGTGTGCACACCCACAGTGAGCAGAGACCTCCCACACTCCTGGCTCCCTGACACAGATGGACAGACAGACAGACCGAGGCATGACCAACACAGCCCAGCTCTCTGCACCCACAGCTCATATTCCCCCTGGGTTCCTTCTGATGACAGAGGCTCCTGGTAAACACGACTGAGCCCAGGAGAGGCCAACACATGGTCCCCTCATCGAACGCTCACTGTGCAGAGCAGAGCCTGGGTCCCCGGGGGAGCGAGGGACTGTGCACAGAGCCAGGCGCGCCTGCTGTTCCGAGCTCACTGCCACCCAGCAGAGCAGAGACGCGCACACTGGAGCCCGGCTGTGTGCACACGCGTGTAACCCCACGCACGCCTGCCATACACCTGTGCACACCCATGTCTGTGTACATGCATGTGTGCACGCACTCACACACATCCACTCTGACACACTCAGAGTGTGTGAGGCGTTATCCGAGGCGCCCCACTTTGTGCACACGAGCCCTCACGTGCGCTCACCTTTGCCCCCAGGCTGCACCGTCCCGAGTGGGGCCTCTGCGAGGAGCCAGTGGGATGAAGGCGGCGGGCGCCTGGCTCCTCTGCCTGCTGCTGCTGGGCCTGGCCCTGCGGGGGGCTGCCAGCCGAGCCCACCAGCACTCCATGGAGATCCGCAGTGAGTGTCCCGACCCGCCCCCACCCCCAGGGGTCACGGGGAGGGGCTGGCCACTTCCCGAGCTGGGGTGTCCTTGCTAAGCGTTCCAGAGCTGGAGGCTTGGCCTCCTATTTCCCAGACCCCTCCCCCAGCTGGCCCCGACATCTGCTCCCAAGGGTCCCGGCCCAGCACACGAGGGAGGGTCACTCTTCCACACAGGGGTGACCTGGGGCTGAGTGCACCTCGCCCACGAAAACGGGGTTGAGGGGTCAGGAAGGGAAGGGGAGTGTGTCCTGGTGTGAGTCTGGAATCCTATTTCCCGAAGCCATTCCAGCACCAGAAATGGGCGCTCCAGGCAGCCCTCCTTTGCGGGCGGTGGTCCCGGCATGGCCTGGGCGACTGGCAGCCGTGAGCTGAGCACACACCCAGCCCAGCCACCAGGGCTGCACCACCAGGGCACAGGCCTCCACACGCTGTTCTCGCTCTTTCCAGCCCCCGACATCAACCCTGCCTGGTACGCGGGCCGCGGGATCCGGCCTGTGGGCCGCTTCGGCCGGCGGAGAGCTGCCCCGGCGGATGGATCCAGGCCCGGCCCCCGGCGCTTGCCGGCCTGCTTCCCCCTGGAGGGTGGCGCCGAGCCCTCCCGAGCCCTCCTGGGGCGGCTGATGGCCCAGCTCGCCCAGGAGTAACTGCAGGAGCCTGCCCCCGACCCCTCCTCCACCACCGGCGACCCTCCCTTCAGTCCTAATAAAAGCAGCTGGCTTGTTCACACGTGTCTGTGTGGTGACAGAGCGGGCGGTACTTCCCCTCGTGGATGTTAGCGTAGAAGGACCCTCAGAGCCCAGCAGCCCAGAGGCTCTGGGAATCGCCCAAGGGCACCCGGCACTGAGCAGGGGGCTAGGACGGCCGTGGTCATGTGCCACCCATGCCGCCCCCCCACCCCGCAAGCCGCCCTGAACGGTTGCTCAGGCTGTGCACTGCACGAGGCCGCCATGCAGGGACCCCAGGGAGGGCATCACAGCCCCTCGGCTTCACCTGCCCCCTCTCTGCCGCAGTTCTTTTTGCCTCATGGAAGAAAAGGAAACAGGGGGTGCCTGCTTCCAGTACTCAACCCCACCTTGTGTCCCTTTTGAATTGCATGAGGATGTCCCGTGGCCTGTCTCTGGCAGAGCTCACTTTGGTGTCGGGGGCACACGCCCACTGACTGGACAACTGAGCTCCATGCCCACCTTCTGGGAACCCCGGTTCCCACATGAACCTGGGTCTGGGAACACCCACCTCAGTCCTGAGCTTGGGTGGCACAGCCCCTGCATACCTGCCGACAGGTGTGGATGCTCCATGAGCGTAAACCCCCTTCCCCGAGGTTGTGCCCACCCCTCTAGCGCTGGAGCCAGGAGCGGGTGGGCAGTTGCTTCTGAACCCAGAGCTCGGGCCCGTCAGGCCCCTGCCTGCACCCTGCCTGCAGGGTCCCAGGAACCCCCCGGGCCTTGGGACTCCCGTGCACACTCAGCAGGGGCCGGGACACAAAGCCAGCCTGCAGGACCCCGGCCTGGCCACCCTGCCCGATGAGGAAGGCGGGGGTCCACGCTCACTGGCCAGCTGGTGGAGGCTGAACCGGCCCAGACCACCCGGATGGGGCTGGGTCAGGGCTGCCCCCTCCCCAGCCACAGAGAGGCCGGAGGGACGGCAGAGGCCAGTCTCCTCCCAAGGAGAGCTCCTACCCGGTCAGCAGCACCCCAGGCTGCATGTGCATGAAGGAACAGGAGTGCGGCCAGTCCCCTCCCAGGGCAGACAGGTGCTGGGTCTGGCCCGGAAGCACGGAGAACCCAGGAAAGCACATCAGCCCAAAGTGACCACATGGCCCCCTCCCACCCGTGGGGACACACCCCAAAGAGCGGAGAACCGCTGTTCAAACACACACTCATATAGGAAAGTTCCCAGCAGCACAACAGCCAAAAAGGTAGAAACAACCCCACCTCCCATCAACAGATGAATGGATATCAAAACGTGGTCTATGCATATGTACCACGGCTTATTACTCAGCGGTGGAATGGACTGATGCTCTTCCTAATGCTACCACATGCAGGAACCGTGAAAACAGGATGCAACAGGACAGCAGCCAGGCACCAAAGGTCCCCTCGTGTGTGATTCCATTTGTAAGAAAGGTCCAGGGAGGCAAGTCCACAGATGGAAAGTGGTTTGGTGGCTGCCAGGGGCTGGGGACGGCTCCACGGACACAGGGCTTCCTTGGGGGTTGAAAGTGTCTGGGAACATGGCCAAGGTGGTAACCGTGCTAAACGCCACTCAGCTGTGCACTTTAAATAGAAGCACTCACAGCCCCGGGTGCTGCAGACGTGGAAACATCAGTGTGGCAAAGGGTTCCGGATTCCAGCCACACAGCACCTGGTACCCAGTCAGGGCAGCCCCTGGAACTCATCTTCTGAGCCCAGAGAGTCAGGGAGATGGGAGACTTTATGTATTCTCCAAACTCCTACTATGGAAGTTTTAAACACACAAGAAAACTCAAAAATATTCTGATGATACCTAATACCCTCCACTTAATTTTTTTTTTTTTTTTTGGCTGCAAGTCATGTGTTATCTTAATTCCCTTACCAGGAATCAAACTGGCTGCACTGGAAGCACAGAATCTTAACCAATGGACAACCAGAAAAGTCCCTACCCTCCACTTACAAAAGCTGGAGTCTGAGAAAATGTAACAAGCCCTTAGAAGTGAAAGTGAAATTCGCTCAGTCGTGTCTGACTCTTTGCGACCCCATGGACTATACAGTCCGTGGAATTCTCCAGGCCAGAATACTGGAGTGGATAGCCTATCCCTTCTCCAGAGGATCTTCCCAACCCAGGAATCAAACCAGGGTCTCTGGCATTGCAGCCGGATTCTTTACCAACTGAGCTATCAGGGAAGCCTACAGTCCTTATAAAAGAACATGTGAAAAGGAGGAAGTGGGTCAAGAGTAATATTCTGATGAGGGGATCAAAATGATCCAATGTTTGGGTCATGGTGGGCGATTCCAGCCACCTGAGAATCACATAGAGAGTGAGTCCATAAAGACCATTGTTTCAAAGGATTGTCTGTAAAGGGAAAGGAGAGAGAGATAGAAGTGAAGGGAAGGGACGAGGAAAGGGCTTGGTTCTGCTTGTTTTAAGATGGAAAGGCAAGGAATCCAGATCGGAAAAGAAGTAAAACGCACACTGTCTGCAAACGACATGACACTATACAAAGAAAACCCTAACGGTTCCACCAGAAAATTACTAGAGTTAATCAATAAAAATACTAATAGCTTCCATGATTATCACTGCATTTACTTTCTCTCCCACACTCTCCCCTGTTCTCTCTACCCCTTGGAAGTGAGTTGTAGATATCACATTTCCCCTAGACATTTCTGCATCTTTCTCCTCAAACGAAGGACAATCTCCACCATAACCACAAAATTATCATCATGCCTCAAAGATTTTGTAAGAATTCCATAATATCATAGAGTTTTTCATCCATACTCAAAACTCCCCAAATAAGGCAAGCAACTCTTAGCTGCCCCCCACCTTTTTTTAATCCAGTGTAGATTCAGGGTCACAGTTAGTTATTTTCCGCTAGTCCCCTGTCATCTGATTTTGTCCTTGGACCCAACTGCTCAGATGACAGGAAATACAGGGCAGGCATGTTACCTGCTAGGCTGATCCACAGGCGGCACATGGCACCTGCTTCCCCAAGTGCTCTGACCTCCTCCTTCCGTCCTGCCCTGTATTTCCTGTCATCTGAGCACTTGGGTCCAAGGGCAGAACTGGACTCGGCCATTGCTGAGGCATGAACGCTCTGTGTCTGTCTTATGGCACGGTATCTGATGGTGGGCTCCAGGCCCCACTCCGACAGGACCCGAGCCTGACCCTTTGCAGACTGTAAGACCCTCTTGGTTTCCCGTCTGCTCATAAACGATCTTCGGAAGTCCTGGGACTTGGTGACAGCAGCCTGTCTCCTAAAGAGCTCCCAGCCAGGGACTCGGGCCCCCCGGGTACCCTTGCTGAGACCAGCTGTCCTTCGTGGGCTGCACAATGCTGAGTCTCTGATTCTTTCCTCCTGAGCGGATTCTTCTAAAGGAGGTATTTCTCCTTTTTTCCCCTTCCTCCTTTTTTTTTCCTTTTCATTCAACATCTTACAAATGGTAAGATGATTTCAAGTTATTCTAAATTTGCCCTCTGAAAAGGGACTACTTTGAAAGGAAAAGAATGGATTCCTGAGTCAGCCCCTCCAGGCACAGGGGAATCTTCCAGGGGAGACGGAGGAGGAGCTAGAAATGGAGCGGGAGGGGAAAGGTCAAGACCACAGGCAGGAAGCAGGGTTGCTCCCGGGGGCTGCTTCTCAGCTCTGCTGTACCTCCTGCCTCCACCACGAGCACACACGCGTGCGTGCACACACACACACGCGTGCACACACACGCGCACGCGTGCACACACACACACCCTGGCTCATGAGAAGGGCTGGAGCGGCTTCCCCAGCTGCAGACAGGACAGAGCTCACTGACTGGCCTCCCCCAGGACCGTTTACCCCGGAGAATCTGTGCCCGGAACACCCACAACCCCATGGACTCATCTCCCTCCAGGCTCCACACCCACCCGACCTCACGGTCCAGGGCGGGCTGAGCTCAGGTGTGTGAAACACAGAGAGGCTCCAGAAACACCTGTGCCTGGTTGTGGTGGAGGCTGTTTCTAGAAAAAGCCTGCCCTTTCTTTACAATGCTGGGGAGAACAGCTTCAGTCCTCTCCTGGGACACATTTGCGGAGCGCTTGGCATGCGCCAGAGCCGTAGCAGCCACTGGGAGCCCCATGTGAGGACAGACGGGCAGAACCCCTGCCCTCACCACGGAGCACCCCGTGTCTGAATATTAGGTCACTGATGGGTCTAGACCTTCCAGGGCCTGTGCCACCCTGCAGACAGATCTAACACGGAGCTGGTGGGCTCAGGGATACTGCCTACAGAGGCTTCCAGGTGATCCCAGGGCTGAGCCCCACCTGCCCCGTGGCGGAGGAGGAGAGGGAAGGGGGCAATCACACCCGGCAATGGGGACCCCAGGCTCCAGGGTCACCATGACCCCCATCCCATCCTGCGGGGAGGGAGGGAGGCGTGAAAGAGGGAGGTGGCAATGAGTCAAAGAATATGCTTTAATAATAAATTCTAGCCTGAGAAAATAGGAGGAAAGCCATCACATATATGGGCATCCTACAACTAGCATGATTTCCTTACTTCCTATTTCATCATGGATGGGTCAGGTACTCCTCTGAAAGACATCTATTGTTCAGCAAAGCAGCTCTCTAGATCTGGAGCAGTGGGGTTTGCTTCCGGGAGGCTGGAGTGCCATCTAGTGGCCGAGCCAACTTCAGCCTCCCGCCACCTCCAAAGTGGTCTCGTCCTTTGGTGGGGAGTCCCAGCCCAGCCGGCTTCCCTGGTGCCCGGTCAGTAAAGACTCTGCCTGCAACGCAGGAGAGTGCCTGCACCGCAGGAGACTCGGGTTCAATCCCTGGATCGGAGGATCCCCTGGAGAAGGAAATGGCAATCCCCTCCAGTGTTCTTGCCTGGGAAATCCCATGGACAGAGGAGCCTGGTGGGCTACAGTCCATGGGGTCTCCAGAGTCCGACACGACGGAGCAACTAAACCACCCAGCCCTGCTACCCTGAGTGAGGAAACAGACAGCACAAGGACAGTCTGACACCGCAAGGGCTCACATCTCACACGCTCCATCTGCAAGGGAACAGTCGTATAAAAACCTTCACTGCAGTCAGAAACCGCAGGGCCCGCAGCAGTAAGCTGCCAGGTTTCACCCGGAAACTGTCTAGGAAAGAAACACGCGTCTGGGGGACGTCCAGGGGCTTGGCATCAACAGGGAAGGCCGCTTTACCTTTGTCCTATTGATCCTTACAGTTGACAAAGTGAAGCCACTTTTTTGGGGGGCTGGGGGGAGGATAACAGTGGCGTCTTATTTAAAATTTCACACCTGATTATCACAGTCTCAGAGGGGAAAGCAGCGTCACCACCTCCGCAGCAAGTAGCCGCCTTTGAACTACCTTCACGTGGCCGCTGGCTCACCTTCCAGAAGGGCCGTGGGGGGCCTCTCCAAAGGGAGGAGCCAGGTGAGCCCGTGACGTGTCTCCACCCGAAAGATGCCCTGTGCCCACCTCAGCCGCATCCCCCACCTACAAACTCATCAGAGACCACATGCAAGAAAGGGGTTTACTTTTAGGAGAAAAACTCACTGGAGCAGAACAAGGTATCCCTCCGCTCGAAATCCGAGTCCTCAAGCCTATGGGCCCAAGCGTCTTGTCCCCATATTCACCGCGAGAAGCGGACAGTGGGTCCCCCATCCCGCCCCCAGCTGCCCCCCTCAGGGACCCTCACAGAGGCCCGGTGACAACGTGGCCCGCTCCAGTGGGGCGTGCTGACCCCTCTCTCCTGTTCCAGGAGCAGGTGAAACCCCCCAGCCTAACCCAGGGCAGCCTCCTGCCCAGAACTAAGTGCCTGCCGGCTGATTTGCCCTCTGACCATCTCCTTCTGCGGTGCCTGGTGGCCAAGCAGCTGAAGGGGTCACCTCCAGGCAGGGTCAGGCGTGCCCACCCCCAGGATATCCGGCATTTAGGCGGGATCTGGCGACTGGGGGAGTGGAGCCCACGCCCTCTGGAGGCCCCCGGACACGCAACCATCTCTCGAATGATTCCCGTGAGCTTGGGAGGCAATTATTCTAAGGAATGCCGGCCTCCTGCGCCTCGAGGACTCAGGCACGCGCCGGGCTCGACGGTGGACCCGGGTCAGCACCGCCCCGGACACGCAACCATCTCCCGAACGATTCCCATGAGCTTGGGAGGCAATTATTCTAAGGAATGCCGGCCTCCTGCGCCTCGAGGACTCAGGCACGCGCCGGGCTCGACGGTGGACCAGGGTCAGCGCCGCCGTCACCACGGAGCTGGGCCGTCACCACCTCGGAGGACCGCTGGGGCGCGGGCTGGGAGTACCCGCTCCCCGCGGCTGCCCCCGGAGCAGCCGCTTCTAGTGGGCACAGCATCGGCCCCGCAGCGAGGGCCGCTCGCTCAGGGTCAGTGGAGCGTCTCTTCGCCGCCTCTGGCCCGCCTTGCTCTCTTCTCTCCGCGAAAGCTCCCGGGCTGCGGACGACAGGAAGGGGAAGCCCGGCTGGGAGGGAAGCCCCCCAGTCCAGCACGGCCCCTGCACCCTTGGCAGCACCTGGAGGCCTGCCCCTCCTCATGCTCTCTGGGAACCAGGAAATCGGCGCCCTTGACTCCTGTCCACCTTCCGGGCCCCTGGCAACATTCGGCTGGGCCCCGGGAGGCCAGAGAAGACCCGTGTGAAGAAGGCGCCCCCCCCCCCCACCCCCCGGCTCCGGGGCCGATCACTCACCGACGGCGCTGAAGACCTCGGTCACCTGGTAGTTCAGTTTGGCCGAGGTTTCCATGAACAGCAGCCCCTGGCTCTCTGCAAACTCCTTCCCTTCGTGATCGTGGAAAGTCCACATTAATCATCAGAAATGTCCTGAGAAGACCCCGAAAGGCCACAGGACAGTTGCACCAGTGGAGAACCTCATTCCTCCCGCCCTGTTACTGGGGCTCCTGGGGAAGGCGGCCAGGACTGGGCAGTGGGGCCAGGAGGGGGTGTGGTGCTCACTGGAGGGCAGCCTGGCACCCGCAGGGGGGTCTGCAGGGAGGCTCCCCTCCCACCATGGAATCTGGGGTGGGGGCTCCGAAAGCAAGTGAGAACAGAGGAGACGTGGAAGGGGGATGAGGCCGGCCTGGTGGGAGCCCCCTGGGCCCTTCTCTGCTCCTGCTCCTTGCTATGCCACAGGGGTCAGGCCTGCGTGGAGTGATGGTGTGTGGAGCAAGGGAGGCTGGGAAACTCCAGGGGCCGCCTGTGTGGCCAAGAAGGGGAGAAGTGTTCACAGGAAGACAGCATGAAAGAGAACCTGGGGGGCTCCCAGGGCAGGACCCTCACCTCCGGACCCTCCCAGAATAAGCCTGGGCCCCAGATGGTCCTGCCTGAGGCTGAGCGGGCCCCGGGGGCTGGGCCAGCCAGGCCTGCAGCATCACACCCAGCAGTGTCCACCCCTCCTCCTCTGGCCCACAGAGCTACACTGCCCCGCCCCAAGCTTCTCAGCCCCTTCCCAGACACAGAGATGGTCATTATCGTTTGTGTTTTAAAGGACAACGTGACCTGGTACAAATGAAGACTTGTGACTTCAGGTGGCTTATATCTGGTCATATCTGCATGCATGCCCAAGTCGCTCAGTCATGTCCAAATCTTTGCAATCTCATCAACTGTGGCCCGCCAGGCTCCTCTGTCTGTGCGACTTCCCAGGCAAGAATACTGGAGTGGGTTGCCATTTCCTCCTCCAGGGGATCTTCCCAACAGGGATCGAACCCTCTTTTCCTGCGTCGCCTGCATTGTCAGGGGGATTCTTCACCACTGTGCCACCTGGGAAGCCCCTGGTCATCTGAATGAAACCCAAATATCTGCCTTTCCCCCACTAGCTTGAGGGTTCCAGGTGGGTCACTTTGAGGGTTTTTTCTTGGTCCAGTGGGCCTCTAGCCCCTAAACTGCAGGTCCCCAGGCTTCTGTCTGCCAGTTTGTCCTTGAGGTCCCCCAGGATGGGGTTCATGGTTATCTCACTGCCCATGGAATAAGAACATCCAGTGCATAGATCTTGGCTCCTAAATTCATTCCCCCACACAAGGAACCAGAGCTCCTCGGAGAAATGATGGATTTCAGGGCTGGGGCTGGGAAAGGGCAAGATGAACCAGGAACAACTTGGCTAGCCAGGAAGGAAGACCTCAAAGAATAACAGGGCAGGAGGGGCAAAGGCCCACTGGGGTGGGGAACTTCTCAGTGGCCAGATCCAGGAGCAGAGCTCCCTGAACCAGGGAAAGGATCATAGTGGGAAAAGTGATACAATCTGAGCTAAGAGCATTGTGTGGCTGTTTGTTTCCTGATTGGCTCGTCATTCTGTGCTTAAGGGCTTCCCTGAGAGCTCAGCTGGTAAAGAATCCGCCTGCAATGCAGGGCACCCCAGTTTATCCACTGGAGAAGGGATAGGCTACCCACTCCAGCGTTCTTGGCTTTCCTTGTGGTTCAGCGTAAAGAGTCCACCTGCAATGCGGGAGACCTGGGTTTGGTTCCTGGATTGGGAAGATCCCCTGGAGAAGGGAAAGACTGTCCACTCCAGTGTTCTGGCCTGGAGAATTCCACTGACTGTATAGTCCCTGGGGTTGCAAAGAGTCGGACACGACTGAGTGACTTTCACTCTCACTTTCTGTGCTTATCTAAGTAAGCCGTTCATACCTGGGAAAGCTGGGAGAAGGGCAGACAGGAACTATCTGTACTATTTCCACAACAAGTTTTGTAATGCCGAAATTATTTTAAGATGAAAAGCCCCCAAGTTACTGTGAAAGCTTCACCACCCGCTGGTCAGCCTGGCCTCTGCCCAGCCGAGGCACCTGCAGCTCGGGGTCTGTGCACTCTGTCCCCCTGACCCCCACCCCAAGGCCCAGCCGAGTGGGAGCTCGGAGTGAGGAAGAGGCCAGGGTGGGGTCTGGGGTCCCGGGGTCAACAGCCCAGGCCCCAGGGTGCCGTGCAGGCTAAGCCATGGGGTCCCCCACCCACAGGCAGGCCGAGCCCAGGGCAGGGGTCCCGGGGGAGCAGGGAGGAGGCCTCGTCCACCCCAGAGCTGGAACCCTGGCCTCCCTGAGGGTCTCCCAACCCAGGTCCCATCTCCCCACAGCCTGACCTGGCCTCTGCACACTCTTCCTAAGTCACCCATCAGATCCCCACCCCCCACCACCACTGCAGGGGTCTCTGCCACTGAGCCCCAGGGCAGCATGGGGCTTCTCCGGCAGCCCCCTGCCTCCAGCCTCCCTCCCCTCCCTACCCCCTGCCACCCAGCACCCTCTTCCCTCATCTGCCCCTCCACCCAGAGCCTCTCCTGAACCCAACCCCACACCCCCCATCCACACACAGACACCACCTCACCTCCTACACGCACCCACCTGCACACAGAGACACACACACACCTGTGCACACACAGAGACACACCTATACACACACACACCTGTGCACACAGAGACACACCTGTACACACAGAGACACACACCTGTGCACACAGACACACACACCTGTTCACACAGAGACACACACCTGTGCATACAGACACACACACCTATTCACACATAGACACACACCTGTGCACACACAGAGACACACACACCTGTTCACACAGACACACACCTGTACACACACACACCTGTGTACATGGAGACACACACACCTGTGCACACACAGATACACACCTGTTCACACAGAGACACACCTGTACACAAAGACACACACACCTGTGCACATACAGATACATACCTGTTCACACAGAGACACACCTGTACACACAGACACACACACCTGTTCACACAGACACACACACCTGTGCACACACAGACACACACACCTGTACACAGATAGCACCTTACCTGCTACACAGACACCTGTGCACACACAGACACACACCTGTTCACACACAGACACACACACCTGTACATAGACACCATCTTACCTTCTAGACACACACACACCTGTTCATACAGAGAGACACACACACACACAGACACACATCTGTTCACACACAGACACACACACCTATACACACAGATACCACCTATACACACACACAGAGACACACGCCTGTACACACAGACACCACCTGTACCTCCCACACACACACACAGACCTGTGCTCCCTGCTCCAGGCTTCCAGCACTTCTCAGGCACCTCCCTGAGCATATTTTCTGCTCTTGGCCATTTTACAGAAGAACTACAGCTTCTGGGTCCTCTGTTCCTTGCTCATTTCCTAGCAATTAAATTTGGATTTGCCCCTTCTTGAACCTGAAGGCGGAAGGGGCAACCCACTCCAGGATTTTTGCCTGGAGAATCCCATGGACAGAGGAGCCTGGCGGGCTACAGTCTAGTGGGTCTCAAAGAGTCAGACACGACTGAGCAACTTAGCATGTACTTCTTGAACAGTTTGTTGAACACAAAGCTGAAGACCTGAAACCCACATTACGCAAAGCGGGAGAGGGCGGGTAGGGCCATGGCTTCCTCGTTCCTAGTGCTGCCTGCCCCTGCTGGCCTTCGGTGCCCAGGGTGGGTGTGGGGTCTATGGTGATGCTCAGGGCTCTCCCTGCAGCTGGGAGCCACCATCTCTGGGTCTGACCTTCCCAAGAGAGACCCGAAACCTCGGCCCAGAAAGGAAACTGAATTGGGAATTGTGTGTGCACCCGTGGCTGTGCAAGTAGATGGTCAGGTGTGCTTGGGGTCCCTCCTATCTCCCCTCCTGAGACATGACAGTCTCCAGGCCAACCTCCAAGGTCACCTCCCGCTCCTCTTCCAGGTCTGTCTTGTTGCCAACCAGCATCACCACGACTTCTCCAGAGTGGAACTTCTCCTCCAGGTCCTTCAGCCACTGCTGCACTTTGCAGAAGGAATCCTGAAAAAGGTAAAGAGGACCGTCAGGCAGACCTGGTGTTCTTCCTGAGCCATCCCAGAAAAGACAAGGCAGGTGTCGATGGCCACCCCGTGTAAAATATGGTCCAACTGACCCACCCAAGGAATCATGAGTGATGGATGCTGATGCTCCAGAAAGAGGACCACGGAGGGGCGCAAACCCAACTGCATAGCAGGAAGAGGGGTGGTCAGCGAGGGCTTGCTGGAGGAGGTGGCCAACTTTCGCTGAAGGGTTCTCCACTGGTGTCACAATTTTAATATAAAGGACCAGCACAGGCCAGTCACATGATGCCTCCAGAAGGTAGCCTCCTCGTGCCTGGGAGGGCGGGGACACGCCCAGGGGAGCCTCACCTTCCTGGTGACATCATACACCAAAAGCGCAGCGTTGGCGCCCCTGAAGTAGAGGCGGCAGACGCTGTGGTACTTCTCCTGACCAGCCGTATCCCAGATCTCAAACTTCAGAGACACAGCCCCCAAGTCCACCACCTTGGTGAAGAACACACCTGAAACCCAAGCCCAAAGTGAGCTTTCCCTGCAGAACGAGGTCTTTACCCACAGCTCAGCCTGGGCTCAGCTCACCAGTGGGAGATAGCTCCCTGGCACCCTCTGTGGGCAAGGCTCAGCAAACACCTCTTTTGGAAGGTGGCAGTTTCCAGAAGAAGCAGAGTTACAAGGAACTTGCTTGTAGATTATATAGAGGCTTTGTGTAGGCAGATAGACTCCAGGGTCCTACTCAAATCCTCTGAACTATGTGTGGTATGGAATAGTCTCTGGCAACCAGGGGTCCGCACGTCCCTATGAGTGTCCGGCAGTGCAACTGACAGTCACCCAGCTCCTCCCCCAAATCCTTCCTGGCCTCCTGCTAACCTCCCAGCCTCATCCACACCTCTGCCTCCCGACCTCCCGTGTCCACTGACATCCCTGCTTAGAATCCTCGCTCTTCCCCACCTCCCAGCAAGCCCACTGGGGTCTTTCAGTGTCAGCCCTCGGGCCCCTTCCTCCAGGGGCCGTCTGTGGAAGCCTGTCCTGTGCTCTGCACACACGTGCTGCAGGCTCTGTCGGCCCTGGGGGCAGAGAGCGCCTGGGCTTCTATCTCCCATGTCTCTGCTTAATGGTCACACACAATGAGAGAGCTACCCCAAACCTTCCATTTGACACCCTGGGCAATCCACCTTTCATGGGAAGGCTGCTTTTCCCCTTCACAGAGCTTTCTCAAATGATGTGACTTTAAGGGAGCTAATTAGTAACACCAAGACGTTTTGTTGCCAGAATGTAAATTGGTGCAGCCACTATGGAAAACAGTGTTAAGGTTCCTCAAAAAAGTAAAAATAGAGCTACCATATGGTCCAGCAATCCCACTCCTGGGCATGTATCCAGAAAAGAAAAGAGCTCTAATTAGAAAAGATATGTGCATCCCAATGTTCATAGCAGCATTATTTACAATAGTCAGGGCCTGGAAGCAACCTAGATGTCCATCAGCAGATGAATGGATAAAGAAGATGTGGTACATATATACAATGGAATATTACTCAGCCATAAAGAAGAGTGGAATAATACCATCTGCAGCAATATGGATGGACCTAGAGATTATCATACTAAGTGAAGTAAGTCAGAAAGAGAAAGACCAATGCCACATGACATCACTTAATGCAGAATCTAAACTATGACACAGATGAACTCATCTATGAAACAGAAAGACACACAGAACAGACTTGTGGGTGCCAGGGGAGGGGATGGGAAGGGATGGATTGAAGTCTGGAATTAGCAGATACAAGCCCTTACATACAGGACGGAGAAACAGCAAGGTCCCACTGCAGAGTGCAGGGAACTATGTTTAGTGTGCTGTGATAAACCATAATGGAAAAGAAATGAACAAGAATGTATCCATGTGCACAACTGAATCACTTCTCTGTACAGAAGAAGTTAAGACAACATTGCAAATCGACCATACTTCAATAAAACAAATGTTATTTTTAAAAAGATGTTCTGGCCCCGTAGCATATGGGCTGTGTCACATACAGAACTAAACCAGAGACTGCGGGGGAGCCGGTGGGGTGCTCCAGGTGAAGCTGCTGCCCTGTCCAGACCCGGGCTGGGTCGGGGGCTTGTTGGGAGATTCTGGCAGATGTGGCCGCATGCTTAAAATGAAAATTTTCACTCCAAGGGCAGCGTGCAAGTGTCCTGGGGTTGCCAGTACAAATGACCACAAGATGCGTGGCTTAAAATGGCAGAAATGTATTATTTCAGTTGTGGGGGTCAGGAGTCCAAAATCAAGGTGTCGCCAGGGTTGGTTCCTTCCAGAAGTTCTGGGAGGGACTCTGCTCCACGCCCCCTCCCGACTCCTGGTAGGGGCAGCAGTGATGGATGATCCTGGCTTGTAGGTGCTCCCCCCTCTGCTGCTGGTTTCACAGGACTGTCCCCTCTGCATCTCTGTGTTCTTCTGTTCCAGGGACACTGGTCATGGGATTCAGGGTGCACCCAAACTCCAGGAACAGCCTTAACTAGTGATGTCTGCAAACACCCCTTCCCCAGTAAAGCCATAGGTACTGGGGGTTAGGACATGGATGTATCGTTGCAGACACAGTTCAGTCCACTACAGATGGAAGGTCAGAGACACGTCTGGGCTCAGATTCTAGCACTGAAAGGGGGAGATAACTTTTCTCACAGGAATCTAGTTTGGGGCTGCTCCTAAACGGAAGCCGCTGACGGGGCCTCTGCCTGCATGGCCTGTATTCTGCTCATCCACAAGCCTGGAGTCATTTACACTTGTTAGGTGCTATGGACTGAATGACTGTGTTCTCCCAAAGTCAGTGGGTGGAAGCCCTAACCCTCAGTGTGATGGTATTTGGAGATGGAGCCTTTGCGAGGTGATTAGGCTTAGATGAGGTCCTGAGGGTGGTGGTCAAGGTGCTCAGTCATGTCCGACTCTAGCGACCCCATGGACTGTGTAGCCTGCCAGACTCCTCTGTCCATGGGATTCTCCAGGCAAAAATACTGGAGTGGGTTGCCATTTCCTTCTCCAAGGGATCTTCCTGACCCAGGGATTGAACCTGGGTCTCCTGCATTGCAGGCAGACTCTTTATAATGACTGAGCTACAAGGAAAGTCCACCTGAGGGTGGGACCCCCAAAACAGGGTTAGTGCCCTTGTAAGAATGCACCCCCATCATGTTCTGTCTCTGTTTTTCTGTGTATGTCTCTCTTTCTGTCTCTCCCTCTCTGTGTCTGTTTGTCTCTCTCCGTCCGTCTCTCTTTCTCTATCCCTTGCAAACACAAGAAGAGGCAATGCAGACACAGAGCCAGTTACCAGGATGGCAGCTACCCATAAGCGAAGAAAAGAGGGCTCAGAGTGAAACCTACTTTGCCAGCTGGAGTGGGTTGCCATTTCCTTCTCCAGGGGACCTCTCTGACCCAGGGATCTTCCCACATTGCAGGCAGGTGCTTTACCCTCTGAGCCACCAGGTAAACCTGAACAGGACGAAATTCCACTAGGACTGTTGACGTCATGAGGGTGAGGGCTGCGCACGGGCCTTGTAAGGAGGCCTATCCGCTGCAAGAACTTTGCTGATTTCCTTAAACCTTCGAAAGCCCAGCTTCCTCCTTTGCCATGAATCAACACTGTCCTCTTCCCAGCGTGATGTCAAACCCATGAGAAAAGAGAGGAGGCGCCTGTCTGGCACCTGACTTCCCTTCCCCCGCCTCCCTCTCCCCTCTCCCGGCTCCTTGGCCCCTTGGCGGGAGCAGCAGCCTTTTGCCCACATGCTTCGCCTGTTTGTGTCAGGTCACATTACACTTCTGAGTTCCATTTTGGTCTCATCCTAAAAACCCTCACTGCCGGGTGACAGGTGGGCATAAAACTCATGTGTGTTTCCTCTGTTTAGCTGTCTAAGCTTCTGGCATTTTCCTTTTCTACTCTGAAATTGACAACTCATAGTTGAGTGTAAATCAATGTATTTAATAAAATCCTAACAAATTTCCAGGGTGGGCAGGGTTTTCAGTTGGAGCAATGATGTGGTACAAGAGGCTGCTGGCTATTTACAGACCACAGCACCTCATCTCCAGGGAGAGAGAGAGAGAGACATGGGCCCCTAGGGGGCCCTCTGGGCTAGTAACTGATGGCAACTTCTACCCGCTGCCCTGCAGACTCTCTGGCTCCAGAAAAGACCCCACATGTATTACCTTCCTTGTTCAGAAAACTGCTGACCAAATTTTCTACCTGTTCACAGGTAAAGACTAAGAGTGATTAAGAGATAAACTCCCAAGATATGCAAACAGACTTGGAGATTTTGCCTAAAATGACAATGTCAACAAGCCGGGGCCTGCGGGCAGGATCAGTCCAAGAACCAGGAACTGTTCACGTTTCTGGGACGTGCGGGCGGAGACGACACACTGGTGCGTTTTCACCAGGTGATAATCTGAACCGGGGCCGCCTGGCACGCTGCTCTTCATGGTGACGCAAAGCAGGGCTCTGACCTCCTCTGGCCCCACCGCAGGTTCAACAAGGGGCCCCAGGGGCAGGGACACCGGGGACACTTCCGGCCCCTCCCCAGCCCCTGGGAGCAGGCGTGCCTTCCACTTGCTGAGCTGAACGGACCCCCTGTGGACACTGCATGACTGAAGAACTCACTGGGGGTTTTCCTTCAACTTGCATATTGTGGCCCCCAATACAAAGGAGTCTCAGATAAACATTAACACGAGGAAAGGTTTTGCTTTTTGACCTTTTAATTTAATTAAACAGCCGCTCCGGCTCACTCAAGCCCTCTCTGCAGCCTTCCCTTTTTTTTGTAAAAGTCATGAACTGCCTCTGGGTTGCAGAGAACACAACGTGGGTGACTCCTCAGGGAGCCTGGGCTCCAGCAAAGCTTCCTCCAGCAGGGAGGGGGCGGGGGAGAAACCCAGCACCCTTGGCCACTCCCCTGCTTCACACAAGGCCCAGCTGGTCCAAGCTGGTTCCACCGGCAAATCCGCACACAAACACTAGATGTCACCACCCCTCCAGAGACAGCACTGAAACGTGTGGGTAAAGAACCCATCTGCCAGGGCAGGAGATCTTAAAGAGACATGGGTTTGATCCCTGGGTCGGGAAGATCCCCTGGAGGAGGAGATGGCAACCCACTCCAGTATTCTCGTCTGGAGAAACTCTTGGACAGAGGAGCCTGGTGGGCTACAGTCCATGGGGTTGCAAAGAGTCGGACACAACTGAAGCAACTTAACACACGCGCGCACACACACACCCACACCCCCCTCAGCCAGAGGGTTGTGGGCCACTGAGAATACACAGATGTGGGTGGGGCTCTGTTCCCAAATAACCTTATTCACAAAAACAGGCAGAGCCCTGTGAGTTCACAGGTCGGATCTCAACCCTCCGGCTGGGCTGGGACACGGAGGGCTGTGTGCCTAGGTGTGAACCTGGATCCGGATTCAGGGGACGGAGACAGCAAGGACCAGCCTGGAAGGCTTGTCCAGATCCAGGTTCACACCCAGGCACACGACCTCCCATATCCCAGCTCGGCAGGGTCCCTTCTGCGGTCTCTGCTCTGGACTAAAACCCACCTGGAGGCCAGACTTAGCACTTCGTTGTATTTTTTCTTTTAAGGCCCAGTCCAGTATCACAGGTGAGTGGTGCCAGCTTGCCTGCTGAAGGAGAAGAGGTTGCCCTGTGCACCCTCGGCGGGCCTGAATCCACAGTCCTGTCCCCACGGCTCCATCCCATGGCCAGCCCCTCACTCTGCTCCGCCCGTCCCACCGCCAACTCCAGGGCCCTGGCCCTGACCAGTCCCTTTGGCCCTGCATGCCTCAGGGATGCAGGAACCACCCTCCTGAGAAGACTGAGGGCCCCCAAAGACTGTGCATTGAATTTCGTGTTAAGTTTCTATGTCAGTGTGCCTGCTTGGCATTTAGAAAATCCTCCATGCCTATTAGGGGCCTGGGGCAGAGGCCACACCCAGCAGGTACTTACTAAGTGAGAGAAGGAGTGAATGAATGAGTGAATAGATGAGTGAATAAATGAATGGATGCAGAGAAATGGAAGGCTTATCCATCAGTATTAGTATCAGTTCAGTCGCTCAGTCATGTCCGACTCTTTGTGACCCCATAGACTGCAGCACGCCAGGCCTCCCTGTCCATCACCAACTGCCAGAGTTTACCCAAACTCATGTCCATTGAATCGGTAATGCCATCCAACCATCTCATCCTCTGTCGTCCCCTTCTCCTCCTGCCTTCAATCTTTCCCACCATCAGGGTCTTTTCACATCAGGTAGCCAAAGTATTGGACTTTCAACTTCAGCATCAGTCCTTCCAATGAATATTCAGGACTGATTTCCTTTAGGAAGGACTGGTTGGATCTCCTTGCAGTCCAAGGGACTCTCCATAACAGAGTCCAAATTTCAAACCAAAGCTTTCATTCCAAATTAGATGTCTTTCCCCCATGTTGGGCTGCCTTCCAAGCGAATTGACACAAAGTACATGTTAGGGTTCCCTATTTTAGATGGGAAGTGGGGGGTTTTCACCCCTAGACAGGGTGTGCAGGAGGCTGATTGCCCACAGATGCTCCAAAGTCCTTCCCCTCTGAAGGCTGTGACTCGTTAGCCTCTTTAAGCAGCACAGAGAGAGGGGCCTCCCTCCCTGACAACCCTTCCGACGGCACCCATCCCCCCTCCAATCCAAGCCAGAAGGGTAAACTGAGTCTGGGCAGAAAAGGAATAGCTTTAGTGGGAGGGCAACCAGCCAGAGTGAGAGGCTGGCTTGTCTAGGGGGCCGGGTGGCAGAGCGTGGGGGCAGATGCTTCATCTGGGCTCCCCCTCCACCAACAAAATCTCTCACATACCCAACCCTTCAGGGCCAGACTCAGCCCTGGAATCTTCACTCCCTCCCGGCAGACTCCAGCTAAGCTGAAGCCTGGTTGAGTTTTGGATTCTGTGTGCGTACCTGCCGGCCTACAGAGGACCTTGTGCCCCTGGCACGCACCAGGCACTTCCTGAGGCTCCAGGAGGCATGAGAAATTCCCAGGTGGCTGGTTCCCATGTGCCCCACACCCAGGTCAGCAGCTCTGGCTTCCCCACTAGGAGACTGAGGAAGGGGTGCCCTGTCCCATCACTTACATCCCACAGTGGGCAGGATACTCTTGAAGTCGTTCTTCACATACCGGAGAGCCAAGCTGGACTTGCCCACAGAGCCGCTGCCCAGGAGAACCGACTTGAAGATGCAGGGCTGGCCCAGGGCGGCCCCAGGACGAGGGACCCCATTCACCTGCGCCATGCCCTGCAGAGAGACAGTGATGCAAGGAGGTTGAATGTCTGATGCCAAATGATCTCAGCAAGCTCACCCCCGAGACACTGACCAAACATGGACAGCCCTGAATGGAATGGAGTTCTAAGTCAGAGGCACCTGGCTTGCCAGTCCTGGGCCACTATGCACCCCATCTTGCCATCTGGAAATCGGAGTGACCGATAGCTATGACACAGGTCTGTTGTGATGTGCTGGGAAAGCATGTCCCCAGTGCCCTGCAGGGCCAATGTATACGAACATCTTCAGACCCTGCAAAGTAGCCTTTGTATGCTAGTCATCGTACCAACTCACTTTCCTCCTTCTATCACCTCTCACTTTTGAAAAATCCGTAGCTACTCCAAAAATGTTCTGAAAAGCCCGAGAGATACAGCACTCTCTCAGTTGTGGTTCATGGATTAAAACTGGTTGGTAAATAGTTTCCAGAAAACCTATTTACAAAAATGTTTAGTGTTTCAAGGATCTCAAAACATTTTAGTATTTCACACTGTATTGAAAGCCTTAAAACATACAGTCATAACAAGCACCCTCTTCCAACAACACAAGAGAAGACTCTGCACATGGACATCACCAGATGGTCAACATTGAAATCAGATGGATTATATTCTTTGCAGAGGGAGAGGCTCTACAAAGTCAGCAAAAACAAGACTGGGAGCTGACTGTGGCTCAGATCATGAACTTCTTATTGCCAAATTCAGACTTAAACTGAAGAAAGTAGGGAAAACCATTAGAGCATTCAGATTGACCTAAATCAAATCCCTTACGATTATACAGTGGAAGTAACAAATAGATTCAAGGGATCAGATCTGATAGACAGAGAGCCTGAAGAACTATGGATGGAGGTTTGTGACATTGTACAGGAAGCAGGGATCAAGACCATCCCCATGGAAAAGAAATGCAAAAAGACAAAACGATTGTCTGAGGAGGCCTTACAAATAGCTGAGAAAAGAAGAGAAGTGTAAGGCAAAGGAGAAAAGGAAAACTATACCCATTTGAATGCAGAGTTTCAAAGAATAGCAAGGAGAGATAAGAAAGCCTTCCTCAGTGATCAATGCAAAGAAATAGAGGAAAACAATTGAAAGGGAAAGACTAGAGATCTCTTCAAGAAAATTAGAGATACCAAGGGAACATTTCATGCAAAGATGGGCACAATAAAGGACAGAAACGGTATGGACCTAACAGAAGCAGAAGGTATTAAGAAGAGGTGGCAAGAATACACAGAAGAACTATGCAAAAAAGATCTTTATGACACAGATAATCACGACGGTGTGATCACTCACCTAAAGCCAGACATCCTGGAATGTGAAGTCAAGTGGGCCTTAGGAAGCATCACTACGAACAAAGCTAGTGGAGGTGATGGAATTCCAGTTGAGCTATTTCAAATCCTAAGAGAGGATGCTGTGAAGGTTTTGCATTCAATATGCCAGCAAATTTGGAAAGCTCAGCAGTGGCCACAGGACTGGAAAAGGTCAGTTTTCATTCCAATCCCAAAGAAGGGCAATGCCAAAGAATGCTCAAACTATCCCAAAGTTGCACTCATCTCACACACTAGCAATGTAATGCTCAAAATTTTCCAAGTCAGGCTTAAACAGCATGTGAACTGTGAACTTCCAGATGTTCAAGCTGGCTTTAGAAAAGGCAGAGGAACCAGAGATCAAATTGCCATCATCTGTTGGATGATAGAAAAAGCAAAAGAGTTCCAGAAAAAACATCTACTTCTGCTTTATTGATTATGCCTAAGCCTTTGACTGTGTAGATCACAACAAACTGGAAAATTCTGAAAGAGATGGGAATACCAGACTACCTAACCTGTCTCCTGAGAAATCTGTATTCAGGTCAAGAAGAAACAGTTACAACTGGACATGGAACAATAGACTGGTTCCAAATTGGGAAAGGAGTACATCAAGGCTGTATATTGTCACCCTGCTTATTTAACTCATATGCAGAATACATCATGCGAAGTGCCAGGCTGGATGAAGCACAAGCTGGAATCAAGATTGCTGGGAGAAATATCAATAACCTCAGATATGCAGATGACACCACCCTTATGGGAAAAAGTGAAGAAAAACTAAAGAGCCTCTTGATGAAAGTGAAAGAGGAGAGTGAAAAAGCTGGCTTAAAACTCAACATTCAAAACATGAAGATCATGGCATACAGTTCCATCACTTCACGGCAAATAGATAGGGAAACAATGGAAACAGTGACAAACTTTATTTTCTTGGGCTCCAAAATTACTGTGGATTATGACTGCAGCCATGAAATCCAAAGACACTTCCTCCTTGGAAGAAAAGCTATGACAAGGCTAGACAGCATATTTAAAAGCAGAGACATCACTTTGCCAACAAAGATCCGTATAGTCAAAGCTATGGTTTTTCCAGTAGTCATGTATGGATGTGAGAGTTGATAAAGAAAGCTGAGCGCTGAAGAATTGATGCTTTTGAACTGTGGTGCTGGAGAAAACTCTTGAGAGTCCCTTGGAAATCAAGGAGATCATACAGTCAATCCTAAAGGAAATCAACCCTGAATATTCATTGGAAGGACTGATGCTGAAGCTGAAGCTCCGATACTTTGGCCACCTGATGAGAAGAGGTGACTCATTGGAAAAGACCCTGATGCTGGGAAAGATTGAAGGCTTAAGGAGAAGGGGACAACAGAGGATGAGATGGTTGGATGGCATCATAACTCAATGGATATGAGTTTAAGCAAGCTCCAGGAGATAGCAAAGAACAGAGGAGCCTGGCGTGCTGCAGTCCATGGGGTCGCAAGGAGTTGGACATGATTTAGTGACTGAACAACAACAAAATTTTCTGAATTGGGGCTTCCCTGGTGGCTCAGTGGTAAAGAACTCTCCTGCCAATGCAAGAGACATGGGTTCAGACCCTGGGTCAGGAAGATCCTCTGGAGAGGGAAATGGCAACCCACTCCAGTATTCTTGGAAAATCTGATGGACAGAGGAGCCTGGAGAGCTACAGTCCACGGGGTCACAAAAGAGTTGGACATGACTTAGCAACTAAATAACAACAACAATTGTCTGCATTACTTCTAGAAAAATCTTTCTCTGAAAATTGGCCAAATCCACCTCAGAGCCAGCCCATCTTGTGAGCAGAGCCTCTCCCACCTCGATATAGGAAGGGAAGGGATTCTGAAGAGGGAAGGAAGACACAGAGATCAGTAGGAAGCAACCCCCAACCCCAAACCCCCAAAGTCCCCAGCAAGCAGCCAGGGCCACAGGCTGGCCTGCTCTGCCCTGTGGGGACAAGAGGAAAACAATCGAATTTGGGATAAAAGTTTCAAAACAAACAGGAGCAAGTCCTAAATACCAATAAGGCTTTCTAAGCAGAAAGTGCCTGGAGTTACCATGCCTGGCAGACAAGGGCTCACAGGCCCATCTGCTCCCCGGGGAAAGGGACTCAGCAGAGCTGAGTCATTCTCGGAGACCGTGTCTGGAACCCCATCTATCTCAGGATACTTAATAGTGTCAGTGGGTGACATCCCACCAGGGCACCCTGCAGCTTCTTCTGCGGCCCCCAGACTCACAGCTGTCTGAGGTTGGGGGACGGGTTCTACAAGGGCCAGCCCTCTCTCCAGAGCCCACCACCCATGCAAGAACTCAAAGCTGTCCTGCTCCAGACTTCTGACCCACGGGTAGAAATGAAACTCAAAGGCAAAGTAAAATAGGGACTTCCCTGGTGGTCCAGTGGTTAAAACTCTGAGCTACCATGACGGGGAACATGGGTTTGATCCCTGGTGGGGGAACTAAGATTCCACATGCCAAGTACCATGGCCCAAAAAAATAAATAAATAAGTTAAAACACTTTTCCCAAAAAAGACACAGTAAAATAAACACTAAGGACAAACAGGGAGCCCCCCGACCTAGCTGGCCTTCCAGGGTTAAAATGATGCCTGTAACTCCGCTCTGCAGGTCAAAGGGCAAACCAGAGTCTGGAAAGCAGCCTGAAGCCCCAGGAGACATAACAGACAGACAGAGGTTCAAAGGTCAGGGGTTGCTAGAGCCGCTTTTCTGGCAACCACACAGCCAAATAACCTGGGGAATTGGCCTGACGGGAGCAGCTACATCGGCTCTTCATTCACGTTGACACAGATCCCTCTCCAGCTGCAGTGTCCTGTCTGTTCTCACAACTGCCACTCCTGCATCACCCCCAGCCTGATACCCACCGCCCCCACCCCATCGTGGCTCCAGTCCCCATAAATAGCAGCTCATAAAAGAGACAACACTCCCTGCCATCCGGCCTGCAGCTCCCTGTTCTTCTTCTTGATTGAAATGATCTCAGTGTCCAACTCTACCTTAATTCAGTTACTTTGATAGTAATCGTTTCTCTCTCTCTCTGGGATGTAACCTCTCCTGAATGCAGAGCGGTCAGTGAGATTGCTGTTATTGTTGTTGTTGTTGTTCAGTCGCTAAGTCGTGTCCAACTCTTTGTGACCTCGTGGACTACAGCACGCCTGGCTTCCCTGTCCTTCACCATCTCCCGGAGTTTGCTCAAACTCATCTTCATTGGGTTCGTGATGCTATCTAAGCACTGAGATTATAGTAGGTGCTTGATAAAGATCTCATGAGTGAACGTGGGATTGGCCTAGCAAGAAGCCAGCATGTCAGACATAGCTTGTATAGCCAGCCCTACCCCAGGCAGCTTGTCAAGCAGTGGGCTGGAGTCTCTGCAGAAAGAGAACCAGAGGACGGGGCCTCCAGCAGGCCCTGAGACCAGCTTCTGCGAGGCAGCTCAGCCTGAGAGCAACAAAAGCAGAAAGTTATTGAAAGTTGGGTCACTGACTCGATGGACATGAGTTTGAGCAAGCTCCAGGAGTTGGTGGTAGACAGGGAAGCCTGGCATGCTGCAGGCCATGGGGTTCCAAAGAGTTGGAAATGACTGAGTGACTGAACTGAACTGAACTGCCTTTAGGATCACCCTACATTCAGATGAAGCTGCTAAAACAGCACGTAAAACCTTGACCAACCTGAACGGGTCTTGCCTCCTTAAACAGGTTGGCTGACTAATCAAACCTGGAGTCACTGTGCAGACAGTACTGTGCACGAGAGGGACAGAAGCCACATCTCCAGGATGACCCTGAACCAAGAAGCTTCAGACTACGGAAAGCAAAGAATAGCAGTGTTGGCATCAGAGCCCTTTACCATGTGAGAAGTCCTTTAATAAGGAAAACATGACTTCCAGGAGCACAAGTCACTTACATGGACTGATTTCAGTTCAGTTCAGTCTAGTCGCTCAGTTGCATCTGACTCTTTGCGACCCCATGGACTGCAACACGCCAGGCCTCCCTGTCCATCACCAACTCCCAGAGTTTACCCAAACTCACAACCATTGAGTTGGTGAAGCCATCCAACCACCTCATTCTCTGTCGTCCCCTTCTCCTCCCACCTTCAATCTTTCCCAGCATCAGTGGTCCTGTATCAGCGGGGAAGCTGGACCATACAGAAGGCTGAGTGAAGACGAGCCGATGCTCTCAGGGGTGATGCTGGGGAGACGCCTGAAGTCCCCTGGACCGCAAGGAGATCCAACCAGTCACTCCTAGAGGAGGAAATCAACCCTGAATATTCACTGGAAGGACTGATGCTGAGGCTGAAGCTCCAATACTTTGGCCACCTGATGTGAAGAGCCGACTCATTGGAAAAGACCCTGATGCCAGGGAAGACTGAGGACAGGAGGAGAGGGGGGTGACAGAGGGTGAGATGGTTGGATGGCAGCATCGACTCAATGAATGTGAGTCTGAGCAAACTCCGGGAGACAGTGAAGGCGAGGGAAGCCTGGCGTGCTGCAGTCCATGGGGTCACAGCATCGGACACGAATAGTGACAGAAAGACAGAAGAAAGGGCGGCTGGTGACGACATCTGGGGAAGAAGGAAAGTATACCGTGTTTCCCCTCATAGAGCCGAGACTCCTCAATCAGCCAGTTTGTGGGTTATCTTGACTGGTCCCTTTCTCAGCCTGGTGGGAGGAAGCAGCAGATGGTGGCCTCTGGGGTCCAAGGAAGACTGAGGGAGGCAGGGGACACCCCAGGAGCTAGGGCAGCAGCCTCGAAGCACGTGTTCCTTGTGGGGACAGTGGGCCCAGGGCCCAGGTGTGTCTCACCTGGGCGGCATCGGAGCAGGGGTCCTGGCAATGTAGCATGAGGGGCACCCAGGCTTTCTTCACTTCCTGCTTGAAGAAATGCTTCTTGGAAATCCTGACCACCTGTGCCAGCTTCCGGAAGAGGATGAAGGCTTTTTACGCAGCAGCTCGCTCTCCAGCAGCCAAGACAGACAAGCTATTTCTGAAACGTGGGAAGCGAGCAGCCCAACAAGATCCCAGGCATTCGCCGTGCACCTCCTTAAACGCCTTGGTGCCTGCAAAGCCTTCTGGATCATTCCATCAGGATGGAGTGTCTCCTGCAGGGCTCTGGGGACTGGGCAGTATTCTGGCGTTTGTGACCTTCTCTTGCCTAGACGGGGGCTGTCCTGGATCTGATCGCCTCCACCCCAACTTAGCAGAGTTCCCACCCCACAAATCACAGATATCCATATAGCATTTGTGGCTGGGAGGAATTAGAGTCAGGGGAGGAGGGTCCCATGTGCCCTAGAACAAGATTTTTTTTTTTTAAACAGCCCCTGTGATCAGCCAATCGATACATCAGTACCCAAGTCAGAACTGCACCCCTTTTCATTCCACGGCACCTCTCTCCTTTAGGGGTGAACAGTGGCCACCTGTCTACTGAGCAGCCATTCGTGGGGACCCCCATGAGGGCCAGGGCCGAGCAAGGCGCCAGTGTGGACTCACGTTGTCAAAGAAGGCTCTGCACTGCTCAGAGATGGCGTTGAAGGCGGACCCCAGGTCCCCTCCCCGCAGCTCGACCAAGCCCTTGGCCAGGACCTCCAGGCCCTCGGAGGTCACGCTGGTGCTCACGCCGGGGCCCCGCAGGGAACTCAGGCACTTCTCCAGTAAGAGCTTCCGGTACTGCCTCACCTGGGGGACACGGGGCCGTCAGCCCCCGCCTGGCTGTCCGGGACACGCCGCCATGGGCCCCTCACCCCCGGCCCCCGCCCCGGCCCCCACGGACCTTCCTGGGGGCGCCGAGGCCACGTTGCCGAGGGCGCGCAGGGAGAGCACCCTCAGAACCTCGTCCTCCTGCTCCGCGCCCTCTCCAGCATCAGCACCGCCCGCTTCAGCAGCTTCTTCTGGTGCAGGATCGGGTCACTCATGACCTGGAAAGGAGAACTGTTCACAGTCACCCCCGAGAGAGGCTCTCGTTCCTCAGCCTCAAAACGGGACAGGTGATTGCTGGGAGCCATTATGGGAGATCCCGCCCATGACGAGGTCATGAAGAAAATACCGGACAGGCAAGGCCGTCCGGGACCCCATCCATGACGAGGTCATGAGGAGAAAACCTGACAGGCAAGGCCGTCTAGGATAAGGGACCCTCCAGATTGGCCTCGGCCTCTACCCCACCCTGTATCCTCCCCCCTTTTCTGTTGTTCTTGTTTGCCCTGCTGCGGATTCTTGTGCTGCCTGCCAAGAGATCTCCTGCTCCTCTTTCAGTGAATAAAGAACAACTTAAAACCCTAACTAATAAATCTCCTGGACGCTGGTACCCTATGAAGGGGCCAGGGATGAAGGAAATGCTTCAATTCAAACCCTTTTGCTGGCATTTTGGCTTGTTTGATGAATGTGTGCTCTCATTGCACAAAATGCTCATGATTGTTCTAAACATCCTAAGCACAGTACGCTAACAAAAGAAACTATTAAGCATAGGTCCCTGTGCGGGGTGAGAAAAGCTCCACAAATACTATAGCCACAAATGTGCCTAATAAAATAGAGTTTGGATAGAGATTAGCTGGTGACTTTTTGCAGGTAATTAACTTTTAGACTAAGAGCCTGTTTTGTGCCATATCTGCTGTTGTTGCAATCCTTTGCATTTCTGTTCTGTAAAAAATGTAATCCTATCTCGTTCCCATGGAGATGACACCTAATAGAAAGAAAATAGATTAACCACAAAAAAGACAGGGTCAGCTACTGAAGTTGCTTAAAGTTGCACCAGGTGCAAGCCATAAATTGTCAACAGGCCTGAAAGCCAAAAGATATTATACATAGAGATTAACCATAAAAAAGGCCCTAATAGGCACAGAGCCCTTTGGGGGGTGAGGAAGCCCTATTAGAACATACAAAAAATATTGATTTAAAAGTGGTTATTGGATCAACGTTTGATTGATGTTAATGTGCTGAGGTTGTGCAGTGGAAACTATTGTTAATATAGTTGGAGATCTAGAAAAATAAGAGTTTAGCCCTAGTGTAAAAGCAATAAGATAATTGTTCATTTTAACCAAGAGTGCTAAACAGGGGCTGCCTCACCAGAGCCGCAGTCTTTGTGTGTTAAACTTTTTAGATAAATTTAGCTGAGAATTTTTGCAAAAAGACAGCTTTTTATGTTAACAGGATTGTGTTTCTATTATGCTGCGACTTGCTGTGGCGTGAGATCGCCACTTCTCTGTTTCCTGCTGAGCTCAAGGCCAGAAGGTAATGCACAAAAATCCACGGGAAAGACGCTCATAAACAAAATATACAGCGCACACCTGGCTTCGTGCAGGACATGCTGATGTAACGTTAGACTAAGTCTGTGTGCTTATCTGCCCCTTAGAAATGTACCAGCTTAGGGTATAAAGGCGACGGTGAAAAAGCAACTGCCAGACTCTGCTGCACATTCCTGGTCTGGTCTCTTTCTTTCTTTCTCTCTCTCTCTCCCTAGCAGACTCGTCCCTATCAAGGCTGGTCCTACGTGCCTCTCTCTCGCCGACGCCGTTCATCCTGAGGGTTCCCCTGGATCCTGCCGGGGCTGGGCCCCGGCAAGCCAAGATGCAAACATTCCACCTCTCGCGGATAATATCCTAACTCAGAGAGAAGGCAGGAACATAAGTGCTCCTAGGTTTGTTGGTGGGAGTGTAGATTGATTCAGTTTATATAGGAGAGAAACTTGGCCCCCACTCTTGGTAACATGCCTGCCCTGCTACAGCCTAACCTCTCAGAGTAGCCTGGATACATGTTTTTTTTTTTTTTAATTTTTTCATTTATTTTTATTAGTTGGAGGCTAATTACTTTACAATATTGTAGTGGGCTTTGTCATACATTGACATGAATCAGCCATGGATTTACATGTATTCCCCATCCCGATCCCCCCTCCCACCTCCCTCTCTACCCACTTCCTCTGGGTCTTCCCAGTGCACCAGGCCCGAGCACTTGTCTCATGCATCCAACCTGGGCTGGTGGTCTGTTTCACTATAGATAATATACATGTTTCGATGCTGTTCTCTCGAAACATCCCACCCTCACCTTCTCCCACAGAGTCCACAAGTCTGTTCTATACATCTGGGTCTCTTTTTCTGTTTTGCATATAGGGTTATCATTACCATCTTTCTATACCCCATATATATGTGTTAGTATGCTGTAATGGTCTTTATCTTTCTGGCTTACTTCACTCTGTATAATGGGCTCCAGTTTCATCCATCTCATTAGAACTGATTCAAATAAATTCTTTTTAATGGCTGAGTAATATTCCATGGTGTATATGTACCACAGCTTCCTTATCCATTCATCTGCTGATGGGCATCTAGGTTGCTTCCATGTCCTGGCTATTATAAACAGTGCTGAGATGAACATTGAGGTATACATGTCTCTTTCAGATCTGGTTTCCTTGGTGTGTATGCCCAGGAGTGGGATTGCTGGATCATATGGCAGTTCTATTTCCAGTTTTTTAAGAAGTCTCCACACTGTTCTCCATAGCAGCTGTACTAGTTTGCATTCCCACCAACAGTGTAAGAGGGTTCTCTTTTCTCCACACCCTCTCCAGCATTTATTGCTTGTAGACTTTTGGATAGCAGCCATCCTGACTGGCGTGTAATGGTACCTCATTGTGGTTTTGATTTGCATTTTTTCTGATAATGAGTGATGTTGAGCATCTTTTCATATGTTTGTTAGGCATCTGTATCTCTTCTTTGGAGAAATGTTTGTTTAGTTCTTTGGCCCGTTTTTTGATTGGGTCATTTATTTTTCTGGAATTGAGCTACAGGAGTTGCTTGTATATTTTTGAGATTAATCCTTTGTCTGTTAATCCCTATTAAGCGACCAACAGTATTTTTCACAGAACTAGAACAAATAATTTCACAATTTATATGGAAATACAAAAAACCTCAAATAGCCAAAGCAATCTTGAGAAAGAAGAATGGAACTGGAGGAATCAACCTGCCTGACTTCAGACTCTACTACAAAGCCACAGTCATCAAGACAGTATGGTACTGCACAAAGACAGAAATATAGATCAATGGAACAGAATAGAAAGCCCAGAGATAAATCCCTGAACCTATGGACACCTTATCTTCGACAAAGGAAGCAAGGATATACAATGGAAAAAAGACAACCTCTTTAACAAGTGGTGCTGGGAAAACTGGTCAACCACTTGTAAAAGAATGAAACTAGACCACTTTCTAACACCATACACAAAAATAAACTCAAAGTGGATTAAAGATCTAAATGTAAGACCAGAAACTATAAAACTCCTAGAGGAGAACATAGGCAAAACACTCTCCGACATAAATCACAGCAGGATCCTCTGTGACCCACCTCCCAGAATATTGGAAATAAAAGCAAAAATAAACAAATGGGACCTAATGAAACTTAAAAGCTTTTGCACAACAAAGGAAACTATAAGCAAGGTGAAAAGACAGCCCTCAGATTGGGAGAAAAGAATAGCAAACGAAGCAACAGACAATGGATACTTGATTTTGAAAACATCCAAAAGGCATATTTTTAAGTCTGGAGGAACGAGGAGGGACCCACCCTTGGCAGTGGCCCCAGAGGCCCGGGCGGGAGGCTTGAAGCACCCTCCGTCCCTCCCGCCTCTCCAGGGCTTTCTGTACCGGGCCTTGGGCTTCCCCCTGGCCACGGGCCTGGAGGCCGACAAGGTGGGGGTGCTGCGCTGGAGCTGCTCTACAAGACGGACTACAGCGACGACTTCCACCGGGAGGTGAGGGTGCCCGTGGTCCCCCCGGCCTCGGGAGGACGTGGTGTGTGCACGCGGGTGCCTGTGTGCGGGCGTTGTGTCTATCTGAGTGTGCGCGTGCGTGTCTGTTTATCCATGTGTGTGTGTGCCGGGGGGACAGATGGGGTGTCCTCCGCCCCACCCTCTCACCCTGCCCCCTGGGACTCCTGGCAGGGTGTGATTCTGTGCTTTGGCCTGTGTGCCCGGGGCCAGGTGAAGACGGTGCTGGGCGTGCTCCATGACTTTGAAGAGAGGATCCAGGAGTCGGAGCAGTCCTGGCAGATCAGCGCCTGGCGGGTGAGGCACCCTTGCTCCATCGTCAGCTCTCTGAGGGACTCTTAGAGTGGTGCTCTCAGCCCCCAACCAAGGCTCTTCAGTTCAGTTCAGTTCAGTTCAGTTGCTCAGTCGTGTCCGACTCTTTGTGACCCCATGGACCGCAGCACGCCAGGCCTCCATGTCCATCACCAACTCCTGGGGCCTACTCAAACTCATGTTCATTGACTTGGTGATACCATCCCACCATCTCATCCTCGGTCGTCCCTTTCTCTTCCCGTCTTCAATTTTCCCAGCATCAGGGTCTTTTCAGATGAGTCAGCTCTTTGCATCAGGTGGCCAAAGTATTGGAGTTTCAGCTTCAATATCAGTCCTTCTGATGAATATTTAGGACTGATCTCCTTTAGGATGCACTGGTTGGCTCTCCTTGCAGTCTTACTAGATCTCACTAAGAAACTCCCCTCTGTGTCTCCTTCGCCAAAGTGAAGTGGGGAATTGGACCAAGGCGGACAAAGGCTGGTCCCTGGAGGCTGTCCCTTCCATCCGCAGTGCACAGTGCCCAGGGCTGCCTGAGTCCCCAGGGGGCCACCAGCTGTGTCACAACCAATGCTTCAGGTTTTGGCCTTAGCCTTGAGCCTTTGCCCTGGGGATCTGGTAGTTTGGAGAGAGAGAATTGGAAGTGTCCCGGCTTCTCTCCCGGCTTCTCCACAAAGTGGAGCCTCAGACCTGGATTTTGAATCAAAGCCTGGAGAGCATGGGATCCCCTGTCCCTCCTTCCACGGTGGGTTGTGTAGCCTCTGACACCTCCTCCTGGAAGAGCTGGGTTGAGGTTCTCTGTTCCCAGTGAATCACTAGTGTCTTGGGAGCCCCTGGCCCAAAGCAGGTGCTCAGGAGGTGAAGGT